TCGGTGGTCGGTCATGAAAATTCATAGTTTTTTACATCCCTAAACTCAACTCGTCGTGTTTGAAGGAAGAACAATACTGAGTTGCATCCCAAGAACACCATACCTACTGTGAAGCATGGGGGTAGAAACGTCATGCTTTGGGGCTGTTTTTCTGCTAAGGGGACAGGACGACTGATCCGTGTTAAGGAAAGAATGAATGGGGCCATGTATTGTGAGATTTTGAGCCAAAACCTCCTTCCATCAGTGAGAGCTTTGAAGATGAAACGTGGCTGGGTCTTCCAGCATGACAATGATCCTAAACACACCGCCCGGGCAACGAAGGAGTGGCTCCGTAAGAAGCATTTGAAAGTCCTGGAGTGGCCTAGCCAGTCTCCAGACCTCAACCCCATTGAAAATATGTGGAGGGAGTTGGGCCAAAATACCAGCTACTGTGTGTGCAAACCTGATAAAGACCTAAAGCAATCGTTTGACCTCTGTAATTGCCAACAAAGGTTATATTACAAGGTATTGAGTTGAATTTTTGTTATTGACCAAATACCTACTTTCCACCATAATTTACAAATAAATTCTTTAAAAATGTCAATTCCTGGATTTTTTTTTTCACATTATGTCTCTCACAGTTTAAATGTACCTATGATGAAAATGACAGACCTCTTTCATTATTTTAAGTGGGAGAACTTGCACAATCGGTGGCTGACTGAATACTTTTTTGCCCCACTGTGTATATATATATTTCCAAATTCTATTTCCAAATTCTTGCCTGTAGTAGCTAGCTATTGTTCAATTGGAGCTACTACACCTATAAAAACTGGGAAAACTGTCTTTGTTGATTTTTAGTTAATTTTTCCAATTTCTTTATTCCTACTGTGAAGGGGAAAACAATATTTTTCCCAAATTCTTGCCTGTAGTAGCTAGCTATCATTGAATGGGAGCTACTACACCCATCAAATCTGGTAAAAAAAAGTCTTTGATTTTTTGTGAATTTTTCCAATTTCATTTTCATTACTGTGAAGGGGAAAACAATATTTTTCCCAAATTCTTGCCTGTAGTAGCTAGCTATTGTTCAAATGGAGCTACTACACCCATCAAAACTGGGAAAAATATGTTTGTTGATTTTTTTGTGAATTTTTCCAATTTCATTTCATTTCATTTATGCCACTGTGAAGGGGAAATCAAATGTTGCCTGTAGTAGCTACCTATCATTAAATGGGAGCTACTACACCCATCAATTCTGGGAAGAATATCTTTGTTGATTTTTAGTCTTTATTAGTCGTTTTGACCTCTTGCAATTTGCAGACTGTCCCTTGCGAATATCAAACGTTCGGCCAACTTCACCTCGGTGTTTCAAAGAGCCATTTTTTGACAAAAAAGACACACACAAAAATCTGTCTGGAGCCGAAAAAGTGTCATCCTTGGTTTATATGAAGGCAAAATAACGAAGTATAGGCTACAAATACATCATCATTACCCTATGTATTTTCACTGAATTGAAACATTTATGATAGTGTCCTGCATTTTATTTTTATGCTGTATGTTAATTGTGTGTGGTATTTTTACAATGTCTGGTAAGCACTTTGTGACAGTCCTGTCTGTTTTAAAAATGTGCTATATAAATAAACTTGACCTTGACCTAGGCTACAAATGCATCATGATTACCCTTTATGTATTTTCACTGCTGTGCAAGAGAATGACGCACCACTTGACTACTCTGCTATACGATATATGGTGCTTTAAACTTAACTTATCTTTTTGTTGCCTTCATGCAATTGTAGAAATACAGTAAATAAATCTGCTTTTTGGCTCAGAGTTCACATACCACTTACATTACAGCACTGTTCGATATCGATCACGTCACAAGTAATCACCGACAGGAGTTGGCTGGCGCTGAGAACCCCATGCGGGTTTTTAGTGCCACAGTCACACTGGGGTTACAGGGTGGGTAGATTTTGTAGAGTTTATAGAGTATTTACCTTCAGTTTCTTGGCAATTAGTAATGGTTTACTCCAGGGGCGGGGCTGGGGATTTAATAGGGGAGTTTTCACTCCTTTGGGGAGATGGTGAGTATCTGTGAGCTGGAGAACCAGAGACTGTGGAGAACCAGAGACTGTGGAGAACCAGAGACTGTGGAGAACCAGAGACTGTGGAGAACCAGAGACTGTGGAGAACCAGAGACTGTGGAGAACCAGAGACTGTGGAGAACCAGAGACTGTGGAGAACCAGAGACTGTGGAGAACCAGAGACTGTGGAGAACCAGAGACTGTGGAGAACCAGAGACTGTGGAGAACCAGAGACGGTCGAGACTGTTGGATTTGTCCACATACTTTATAGAATAATTACTTTATTTTTCATAATGATTTTTTTCATGTCACCTAGATTCAAAACCTGAACAGACTTCAGATGTGACCAGTGAGGAACGACTTCTGTCACTGCTGGAAAACTGCACAGTGTAAGAAGAACTTTAGGACAAGCGTCGCCATCCAAGATCAAAAAGAAGGGAAGAAATTAACATACCCCGATAGCGGAAGACGACAAAAACATGTACAAATGTGACCAGTGTGGGAGGAACTTTGGAAACTCTAGTGCCCTCACTGTACATTTGAGAATTCACACAGGAGAGAAGCCATACTGCTGTGACCAGTGTGGGAAGGAGTTTAGACAGTGTGGTGGCCTCATTACACACATGAGAATTCACACTGGAGAGAAGCCTTTCATATGTGACCACTGTGGGGATAAGTTCAAGACTGTGGGAGCCCTTCAAGATCATGGGAGAATCCACTCTGGGGAAAAACCATACGGCTGTGACCAGTGTGGTAAGGAGTTTAGACAGTCTGGTGCGCTCACGGTACATAAGCGAATTCACACGGGAGAAAAGCCCTTCAAATGTGACCAGTGTGGAAAGGGATGCCGAACATCAAGTGCCCTCACACAACATATGAAAACACACAATGGGGAAAAAGGATTCTGCTGTGACGTGTGTCCAAAGTCGTTTAATTTTTCATGCAACCTTGTGGCACACATGAAAATCCACACTGGGGAAAAACCGTACAGCTGTGACCAGTGTAAAAGGAGATTTTCAGAACATATTCATCTCCGTAGGCATAAGCGACTCCACACTGGGGAGAAACCATACAGCTGTAAATTCTGTGACAAAACATTTAACCAGTCGGGTCAAAGAAACCAACATGAGAGGAACCACACTGGACAAAAGCTTCACAAATGTGACGTGTGTGAGAAGGCCTTCAGTCGACTACAGCAGCTCCGGAAACACATGGACCTTCACTCAGGGTTAGGGTCTGAAGCCGCTGACAGCAGCTCCTCACTCACTACTCGACACAGACCCAAGAGAAAGGTTAAAACCAGAAGTAAAGGAGAAAAGACTGCAGAGTTGTCACATTCTACATTCAAACTGAAACATCTAGAAATCAGGCTTGAAAGACTTTTGTTTTTGCCATGAAATATGAAGGCATTATGATTTTACCTTTGATCAAAGCTGTTTTTTTATTATGAACGTTTGACATTGTTGCTTATGAATAAAGGAGACATGGCTAGAATGAGACTTCCAGGTCCTAGTTTCATTCATCTGTCTCTTTGATCAAAGTACAGTTAAAAGTTTCAGTGTCAATGTCTTCAGAGTAGAGTTTATTGGTCTTTTTCTCACCCAGTGTTCTGGAAGCTTCGCTATTCTGGCAAAGGAAAATGATCTGGAGCCACAGAACTTATCGTATCTTACCAGTGACAATGTTGTGTAGCATTAACCATCAAAAGGTTTTAATAAAACTGAATAAACATTGGTCTGAAGCTTATAAGTAAAAACTGGAGGTCAGAACTTTTAGAGTTGAGGAGCCAGACCCCCTCCACGTAATCTGTTTTGCTACCTTTAAAAAAAAAAAAAAAAAAAAAAAAACTTATTTCATGTTGTATACTTTGGGCAATAACAGGGCTCTTTCCCAACTTGGCCTTGTTTGGTCTTAGGTCCGCCTTATGCAAAATTATGTCATTGTAAACGTGAAGGTGCCGACATCACAAACATTGTCATAGCAACCTAAGTTGTTGTATGGCGGCTCCTGACACATGGGCGAAACTAGTGAAAAATATTCTGGAGTTTGCTATATAGTTCTTTTAAAATATCACCTCCCAACATGTAGTAAAACACACAAAATGTCCGCCTGACAAATTGACATTCAAGTGTTAATTTTTTAAGCATTTCTTTTTACAAATCATACTTCAAATATTCAAAAACTGCCCATATTCATAAGCTTCAATTTAAGACCAAAATCACCTTTTTATCTTGCAAACTTCAGATTCCACAACCAAAGTTCTGCTCATAACCTCAAATCAAAGATAGAACTGTAATGCATTTCTCTCCCATGTGGGACTGGGCAGGTTTCTTGAATCTTCAAACGTAAAAGTTTAGACTTTGCTTATATACTGCTTTATTGTATCAACTGAATGCAATGAAAAGTGAGTAATATTAAGGGTACAACCACACAATCAATTTACAAAATGGGAGATTTATAAAGAACATATAAGGCATAAAGTATGTACGTACCTCTTGCACTGCAGTAGAACTGTCACTCCTTTTCTTACATAATATAAAATGTTTGCTTTTCTTCTTATACATGCACTACCCTAACTCTAATCCTTCTCATGACAGTGTACTGATGTAGATTAATGCTTCCCAAAGTGGGGTGTGGGGCCCCTGGGTGTCCTCCGACACAAGTAATCAGAAATGAATGCAAATCTGAGCATTTGATTGTAATCATTACTGTCACACGGGTTTGGAGGCCAAGTGACAAAGAGAGGCTAAACATTGAAAGAAAAACTCAGGACACAGAATAAGCCGCACTTTATTTATTTAAGGTTTTTGGGGGAAAGTGCAAATAATGTAAACTTCACTTTGGCTGAAAGAGTTAGGTTAGAGGCAAACGGTGAAATCGAAACAAAAACACAGAAACAGAACTTTATCTCAACGTTTCCTTGATTGCAGTAGACTCTTTACATTACCTGAAGGAAACAAGACATTTGCTAGAATCCAGAAGAAAAAAAGGAACCTGCCCCCTACAGGCCTCAGGAGGAATTGGCCTTACCCCTGCCCCTGCCCTGGCAACCCCCCCAGCAGCCCGTTGGCTGTGGTGAACAGGTTAATGGGAGATGATCCGTCCGTGATCAAAGTGGACTTCAGCCCAAGCGCCTGGAGCATCTTCACCTGCAACAAAATCAGGAGCATGAACTACAGGGACCAGCATGCACTGGTGCAAAATGGTCTGCTTTGTCCCTCTCCTTCAGTCCATACATGTGTCTCACTAGTCTATCACTCCTCACTCCCCCCCCCCCGCGCCCTCGTACCTGCAGCTCGGGCCCAGCCTTGGCCATCTCCTTCAGGGTCTCAGTTCCCAGACTTTGGACCATGTGGCTGAACTTCTGGGTCTCGATGGTAGCCAGCTTCTCCTGCTTGTCCACCTCCAGATGGTCCATGTTCTTCTGGTAGCTCAGCTCCTGCTCTCGGGCCTGGGACAGACGCTGCAGCTCGGACTCCTGCAGAGACACAGCAAAAATATACAGATAGAGACCAGAGACAGAGAGGACAGAGACCATATGGAGGGAGAAACTCACGGCCTCAATCCTCTGCGCCTCCGCCTTCAGTTTGGCTTCGTTCACAGCAGCTTCTCCCTGGATCCGGGCGGCTTCAGCTCTGGACTGAGCCTCAGCTTTCGCTGCACCTGTGCTCTCCACTGCAGCACTGTACAGAAAGTACACAAGTGTTAAGTACAAAGAACTTAAACAGGTATACGGTGCCTTGCGAAAGTATACACTTGAACCTTTCAACATTTTGCCACATTTCAGGCTTCAAACAAAGATATAAAATTATTTTTTTTTGTCATGAATCAACAACAAGTGGGACACAATCGTGAAGTGGAACGAAATATATTGGATAATTTAAACTTTTTTAACAAATAAAAAACTGAAAAGTGGGGCGTGCAATATTATTCGGCCCCTTTACTTTCAGTGCAGCAAACTCACTCCTGAAGTTCAGTGAGGATCTTTGAATGATCCAATGTTGTCCTAAATGACTGATGATGATAAATAGAATGCTCCTGTGTGTAATCAAGTCTCCGTATAAATGCACCTGCTCTTTGATAGTCTCAGGGTTCTGTTTAAAGCGCAGAGAGAACCATGAAGACAAAGGAACACACCAGGCAGGTCCGAGATACTGTTGTGGAGAGGTTTAAAGCTGGATTTGGATACAAAAAGATTTCCCAAGCTTTAAACATCTCAAGGAGCACTATGCAAGCAATTATGTTGAAATGGAAGGAGTATCAGACCACTGCAAATCTACCAAGACCCGGCCGTCCCTCCAAACTTTCGTCTCAAACAAGGAGAAGACTGATCAGAGATGCAGCCAAGAGGCCCATGATCACTCTGGATGAACTGCAGATAACTACAGCTGAGGTGGGAGAGTCTGTCCATAGGACAACAATCAGTCGTGCACTGCACAAATCTGGCCTTTATGGAAGAGTGGCAAGAAGAAAGAGATTTCTCAAAGATATCCATAAAAAGTCTCGTTTAAAGTTTGCCACAAGCCACCTGGGAGACACACCAAACATGTGGAAGAAGGTGCTCTGGTCAGATGAAACCAAAATTGAACTTTTTGGCCACAATGCAAAACGATATGTTTGGCGTAAAAGCAACACAGCTCATCACCCTGAACACACCATCCCCACTGTCAAACATGGTGGTGGCAGCATCATGGTTTGGGCCTGCTTTTCTTCAGCAAGGACAGGGAAGATGGCTAAAATTGATGGGAAGATGGATGGAGCCAAATACAGGACCATTCTGGAAGAAAACCTGTTGGAGTCTGCAAAAGACCTGAGACTGGGACGGAGATTTATCTTCCAACAGGACAATGATCCAAAACATAAAGCCAAATCTACAATGGAATGGTTCACAAATAGACGTATCCAGGTGTTAGAATGGCCAAGTCAAAGTCCAGACCTGAATCCAATCGAGAATCTGTGGAAAGAGCTGAAGACTGCTGTTCACAAACGCTCTCCATCCAACCTCACTGAGCTCGAGCTGTTTTGCAAGGAAGAATGGACAAGAATTCCAGTCTCTCGATGTGCAAAACTGATAGACATACCCCAAGCGACTTGCAGCTATAATTGCAGCAAAAGGTGGCGCTACAAAGTATTAGCGCAAGGGGGCCGAATAATATTGCTCGCCCCACTTTTCAGTTTTTTATTTGTTAAAAAAGTTTTAATTATCCAATACATTTCGTTCCACTTCACGATTGTGTCCCACTTGTTGTTGATTCTTGACAAAAATGTAATTTTTATATCTTTATGTTTGAAGCCTGAAATGTGGCGAAAGGTTCAAGGGGGCTGAATACTTTCGCAAGGCACTGTATAATGAGTAGGGCTGGGACTCGATTAAAAGAATGTATCTAATCAATTAGAGGCTTTGTGATTAATTAATCACATTTTAATTGCATATAAATATTTGTCCTGAGAACAGTGAGATTTTTTTTCACATGGATTTTTGTTTACCAGTGAATAATGACTGAATACATAAGCTTAAGCAACACATGTTCATTGTGGATGATAAGGGGATCAGGCGGACTTCTTTCCCATCAAATAACGTTTCTGTCATCGCCTCCACACGCTGTCCACAACATATGCTTTTTAAGCCCAAAATCTACTGCACTCACAGTAAGCACTAAAGCTTAGAATACGTTTTTCATGTGTGCATTCGAACTAAAACATCAGCAATAGTAGCTCACACACCTGTGTCGCTGCTCCTGCTCCTACGCTCACAGGAGTCGCTCGCTGCTCCTCCTCCTCACACAGAGTCCATAGCTCCATACAAAGTACTCTTTCCCGTCTCTAACTCACTCAGATTTAGACACCGCTAAAGTTGGTCTATGCTTGTTATAATGAACTTTATGCGATTAAAATGCGTACATTTTTTTTAACGCGCTAATTAATGACTTAATTATTAGGTCCCGGCCCTAATAATAAGTACTACAAAGTACTGACACACAGCAGTTTTGTATCTCTTTCTCTCATTCTCTTGTCACTCTCTTTGTCGGTAGGTCGGTCTCTGGTCTCTCCCTCCCTGGTCTCTCCTTCTCTGGTCTCCCTCTGCTCTCTCACCTAAGTGCCTCCAGCTCCAGTAGCTCCTTGCGGGCCTTCTCAGCCAGGGCCTGGTCGGTGATTTTCTGTCGTTCCAGTTTCCCTGTCGCCTCCTGCGCCAGACGCTCTGCTTCGTGACTAAAGACACACAAAAGTTACAACTGCAAGCAGCATCAAGCGCCTCACCCCATTACAACCCAAAGAGATGTCCTCTCAAAACAAGTTAGCATCGAAATATTAGCAATATCACCAGCAGCAATACCAGTACCATCCACAGCACCAGTACCAGCTGCAGCAGTCTTACCGGGCCGTGGCCTCCTGGGAGTTGGTGGTGATCTCGATGGCGAGCTGGACACTCTTCTGCAGGGCATCTCTGGTCCTTTGGTCCACTGGTTCTACGCTCTGGATGTCCACAGAGCTGATGACCAGACGGTTCTGAGGAAACTGCAGAGAACCTCGAATATTCACCTTCTCATCGAAACCAAAGACCGCAGAGCAGATGATCCGGTTAGAGTTCTGTGGGAGAGACCAGGGACCATACTGAGACTGAGACCAGGAACCAGACTGAGACCGAGACCAGAATGAGACTAAGGGTGTATTCAGACCTGAAAAGTCTTTGCTCCGCTTGCTTGTTCCAAATCAAAAGTGGACCAAACTTTTTTCTTTTGCTCCGGTTCGTATTCAGACTGTCCTTTTTGCAAGTGAACTTTTTTTATATAAACATATTGACACGTGTGACGATGGGCGCTCCTATTGGACGGCGAGAGCTCATGGAGAATAGACGCGGAACCGGCAGAAAACATTGAGGGCTCGTATGTGCAGCATGTCTGCTCTGCCTACGTTTGCTCTTTTTAGAGCAAAACCACCTTCAACAGCAGCTCATATGACACAGGCCAAACACGTTGTTTTAAATATTGGAACAGCGTCGGAGAATGCGTGAGGAGAAAGCTGAAGGAGACTGTCTGTGCGCTCCGTGCCCTGTCCCACACATGGATCTATGATTATAACTCTGTTCCACAACTTACTGACAGCAGCATCGTGGATAAACCATGGATCTATAATAACAACGGGATAAACAGACGAAGGAGGATCAGGTATGAGCCAAATAACACAATTCACTACATACTGGATATTTTGTTTTTGAGACGTGAGTCAAACAGTGTCAGGCTTTTAATAATGCAAATGATTTGAAGATGCTGCCATTAACATCACTGCATACTGTGAACAGTTGTAACTCCATAAGCCTGTTGCACAGCGTCTCCTCACTGCTCCAGGTCTGCACACGGCTCAGTGTTGTTGTGTAGCGTTAGCAGCGTAGTTAGCCGCTGCATGGCTAATTCCTCACAGTTTCTGTCTGCGGCTTGTTAAGCCCAAAAAATTGTGTCGGATCGACATCGGATGTATTCAGACCTGATTCGACTTGGACCAGAATTCGTTTGTAAGCGGACCGAGACCACCTAAAAAAGTGGGTCTCGGTTCGGTTCTTTGGTCCGGACCAGGATTCGTTTGTGTGTATTCAGACCTGCATAAAAGGTTCGGATCAGAGATCCAAACGAATCCTGGTCCGTTTAAAGTGAAGCAAATGTGCAGGTCTGAATACACCCTGAGACAAGAGACCAGGGACCATACTGAGACTGAGACAAGAGACCAGGGACCATACTGAGACAAGAGACCAGGGACCAGATTCAGACCTGGGACCAGACATCCTTAGACCCCTTTCTAACCCCTGACCCCCGAACCTTGTGGAAGTCGTCGAACTGCACGGAGGCGACTGCTCCTCTGATCTTTGAGGCGATAGCTTTACAGGCGTCGCCCACAAAGTCAGGGACCGAGAAGAGAGCGGCAGCATGTTCTGCAGACACTGGACTCTGGACGTCAAAGTGCCTAAAAGGGACAGAGGAGATAGAACAGGGACACACACACACACAGAATATTGATTAGCATTTGGAGGAGCTGGAGTTGGCTGAATGATGACTACTGATATGTTCTGACTCAGTCCTGAATTATAAAGGATTGTGTATGAGAGCTGGAGTTGGCTGGATAATATGTGTACTTGTGTTTATGGCATCATTCTGTTGTAGTTGCAGTAGTAGTGGTAGCGGTAGTAGCAGCAGCAGTAGTATTTGTACCAGTTGTATGACAGTTGCAGCTGCAAGCGGGCATGGTCGGCCGTCTCAATGGTGATGACGTCAGTGCAGAAGTCGGGCCCCAGCAGCAGACACACAGCTTTGATGACGTTCGCTCGTTTGGGTTTGTCTCCAGAGAGAGACAGCACCGTGAACTGCTCATCTGGTCCCAACATCACCAGCTCTGGTCCAAACACCACACTGAGAGAGACGCAGAGGGACACAGACACAGATAAGACACAAATTCATACATGCACAAGTACCGAGAGAGACACACAAAAACACATACAGTGGGGCAAAAAAGTATTTAGTCAGTTTAGTTCTTCCACCTAAAAAGATGGGGGAGGTTGTAATTTCCCTCATGGGTACATCTCAACAATGATAGACAGAATGAGAAGAAAAAAATCCGGGCAATCCCATTGTCTGATTTTTATTTTTGCAAATTATGTTGGAAAATAAGTAATCGGTCACCTAAAAACTTTTGGCTCTCACAGACCTGCAACTCCTTCTTTAAGAGGCCTGTCCTCCACTTGTTACCTGTATTAATTAAACCTGTTTGAACTCGTTATCAGTATGAAATACACCTGTCCACAACCTCAAAACAGTCAGACTCCAAACTCCATTATGGCCCAGACCAAAGAGCTGTCAAAGGACGGCAGAAAGAAAGGTAGACCTGCACCAGGCTGTGAAGACTGAATCTGCAATAGGTAAGCAGTGTGGTGTGAATAAATCAACTGTGTGTGAAAAACTTATGAAGACTTTGTTTTTGACCAAACAGTTATTTTCCACCATAATTTGCTAATAAATGATATAATTATCAGACATCTGTTTTTTTTTCCTCAATCTGCCTCTCATAGTTGATGTCGACACACAGTCACAGACCTACTTCATCTTTTTAAGAGGGAAAACTTGCACAATTGGTGACAGACAAAATGTGTTTTGCCCCACTGTACATACACAAGTACAGAGCAAGTACAGAGCAAGACCAGAGCGAGACCAGAGCGAGACCAGAGCGAGACCAGAGCGAGACCAGAGAGAGACCAGAGAGAGACCAGAGAGAGACCAGAGAGAGACCAGAGAGAGACCAGAGAGAGACCAGAGAGAGAGACATAGTGTAACCAGTTTGAAAACATTGAGACAGAAAGGGTTTCCCGGTCCTCACCGTGCTTTCTTCTCCCTATAGTCGTACACCTGCACTGCGGCGTTGTGAGGCACACGGTACGACACCACGTGGGTCTTGTCTCGCGGCCTCTGTACCGCGGCCTGGTTCCGGTCCGAGCGGTCAGCCAGAGGATCCTGGGGAGAGGCCAGGAGGGCCTCCACGTTTTGAGGGAGCTGCTTCTGCCACAGCTCCTCATCCTGAGTCAGCATGTAGGTGTGTCCAATCACTGCACGGACCTGAGAGACAGCAGAGGTGAGTCTCTCTCTGATCTCTCTCTCTCTCTGATCTCTCTCTCTCTGATCTCTCTCTCTCTGATCTCTCTCTCTGATCTCTCTCTCTCTCTGATCTCTCTCTCTGGTCTCTCAAGTTGTCCCCACATGGTTCTCACCTTCCCAGTCTTGATGTCCCTGACGTAAATGCCTTCGTTCTCGTCCAGGGGAATGGCCTGTCGCCGCAGTATCACCTCCACAGAAGCAGAAGGCACGTACTCGATGGGACCACGCAGCATCCACCGGTCACCAGGGCGACGAGAGATTCCGGCCCTTCGTCTGCGCTTGGCCCCGCCCCCCTCCCCCTCCTCCTCCTCTTCCTCAGAGTCCAGAGCGTCCATCTGTTGCACACACATATGTCCAAATCTGTCCACACTCATTAAAACAGTCCTGGTCCAGTCCTGGTCCTCACCGGGTCAATGTCGGTGAAAGCCTCCACCGCCCGCAGCACCAGCCCCTCCTCCTCAGACAGAACAAACACGTCCTGGATCCCGTTCTCCAGATGTTCACCAGGCTGAAGGAAGAAAGACTTCTCCCCCTGGAACCAGAGATCAGGTAGACCAGAGAGAAAAACCACAGAACTGGTCAAATCTCAGACTCTTCTGACACTAGTTTCACATAATGTATTTGTGATGTCACATATTTAGATCAAAGAGGATCACCCTCACTCAGCCAATCAGCTCCCAGCCCAAAGAGGCAGATAGTGACTCACAGGGCTCTCTGACACAGACAGCATGGTGTGGCTTATGATATTTACATCCCTCAGCTTTAGAGCTCACCCTGCCTTAGAGCTTACCTTGACCACCTTCTTCCTGCCCAGCTGGGGCTTGCCTCCGTCTCCCACCGGGTCGAGGATGACGCAGTACTGTCTTGAGCTCAGTGTGGTGACCTGCACCTCCTTCAGCACCTCCTCACACACAGATGGGATGTGCGCCTCCCTCTGCTCCAGCGTCACCAGCCACTCCTCCCCCGTCCTCCTGTTGAAGCCGCCCTGGTCCTTAAAGGGCCGGAGCGCACGCACATGCAGAGCCCTCTGTGGGACCACAGTGTCAGCTCTAAGGTCAGTTCTAATGTTAGCCCTAAACAGTTCTAATGTCAGCTCTAAGTTCAGCTCTAAAACAGCTCAAGTGTCAGCTCAAAGGCCAGCTTTAATGTCAGCTTGAAGACCAGCTCTAAACAGCTCTAAGGTCAGCTCAAGGCCAGTCTGATGTCGGGTCCAAACAGCTCAAAATTCAGCTCTAAGGTCAGCTCTAAGGTTACCACTAATGTCAGCCCTTATTTCAGCGTTAATGTTAGCTATTATGTCAATAAACAGTTCTAATGTCAGCTCTAAGGTCACCTCTGATGTCAGCTCTAAACAGCTCTAGTGTCAGCTTGACGGCGAGCTTTAATGTAAGCTTTAGAAAGCACTAAGGTCAGCTTTAATATCAGCTCTAAGGTCAACTCTAAGGTCACCTTGTCTGTGAGGATGAACGCATTGACAATGTCAATGACTTCTTCATGAGCTCCAGGAAGATACGCCCCCACTTTACTGACGAGCCACTCCTCTCCTGCAGAGGGGGAGGAGGGGGTGAGGGACACAAAGCAAACATGGGCCTCACTCTCTGGCCTCACTCTCTGGCCTCACTCTCTGGCCTCACTCTCTGGCCTCACTCTCTGGCCTCACTCTCTGGCCTCACTCTCTGGCCTCACTCTCTGGCCTCACTCTCTGGCCTCACTCTCTGGCCTCACTCTCTGGCCTCACTCTCTGGTCTCACTCTCTGGCCTCACTCTCTGGTCTCACTCTCTGGTCTCACTCTCTGGTCTCACTCTCTGGTCTCACTCTCTGGTCTCACTCTCTGGTCTCACTCTCTGGTCTCACTCTCTGGTCTCACTCTCTGGTCTCACTCTCTGGTCTCACTCTCTGGTCTCACTCTCTGGTCTCACTCTCTGGTCTCACTCTCTGGTCTCACTCTCTTACCAGTCACCCTCTGGGTCCCGCTCCGGTCCACTCCCTCCTTGCGGGCCCTCAGTCTGATGGCCTGGTTCTCTCTGATGACAGTCGCTTTAATGGTCTCCAGAACGACCTCCTCCTTGTGTGGGATGTAGGTTCCTGCAGCACAGAGGGGAGAGAGCAACCCTCGTCAGAAGGGAGGAGCCAACCCAAGTCTAACCCTGTTCTGACTCTGGTCTAAACCCTGCTCTTACCCGGTCCCTCGAACAGCCACTCGTCGCCCGCCGTCCTCTTGGTTCCTGTGGAGTCGGTGAAGTCGAGCAGAGCCTGAAGCCTGAGCGCCGTGTCCGGGAACACGATCTGAAGAGCAGTCACGTCCTGCGGAAAGAGATGTGTTACTAACAAGCTCCTCCCCCGAGGAGGTCCTCCCTGACCCTCTCCTGGGTAAAGGATTAGAGTTAGAGCTTACCTGTTGCACCTCCTCTCCTGGGTACAGGGGGAAGGGCTCCTGTGTCAGGCGGATCTCTTGGTCGGCATGTCTGAGTTTTGCTTGTCCTGATTGGTCGAACTGCACCTGGCCCTGGTCGTCACGGGCAACAGGGTTCAGCACCACACAGTAGTGGCGCGGTGGTACCATCACCATCCTCACCGGCGGGAACAGAACTCTGAGGATCAGACAACAGGTCTGAGACCAGAACCCTCCCCTCCCAAAAAACCTGACTGCTGACCTCTCATTGTCCTGCCGGATGTAGGTTCGGGGCCCGGTCTCAACTCTGCCGATGTTGGTGTTCTGGTCCAGGACATGGATGTAGTGATGAGGAGGGATCCTGATGATGGAAGCATCCAAAGGGAAATCCAGGTCCACAGGGCGGGGATCAGACCTCTTAGACATTATGAAGACTAGAGGACAGAGAGCACAGGGACCAGTGACCAGTGAGACCACAGGGACTACAAAGACCAGTGAGATCACAAGGACTTCCAGGTCCACAGGGCGAAAACCAGACCTCTCAAGCTGTGTTCACGCCGATGCAGCGTCCGCTCACACTGGACGCACATTTACAAAATTGTCACTCACTGTGTGAGTTTAGAAAATCTGAAGTACTGTTGCGATGGTAGGGTTGCCAAATTGAGAACAGAAAAATAAGGGACACGCATTTGGGTGGATCGGGTTGAGCACTTTTTAGACCTAATTTCAATCTACACAGTAATCATGGAATTTCATAATCAGTTTTTGGAATGGAATTTATTGACTACATTAAATAAAACAAACCCTTAGACAACAAATAAATGTAATAAATAGGTGGAACTCTTTGGCTGGTTAACGACTTAATGCATAAAAAAAGAGACAAATGCTGTAACATACATTATTTATGTATGTTACAGTAAAGACCATTTACAGTAAAAGCAATTCCAAAAAAGAAAAACGTAGTCATTTAAAATATAAAAACTCACATATGTTAAAGTCTGTAGCAGTTAGATATGGTCATTATTTATAGTAGAAATTCATGCTTTTTTCAAAATTATCATTCATTTTGATTCATAGTATTTATTTGTGATATCTTTGGAGTATTTGAAGGAAAGTTAAAAAACAAAAATAGAAACAAAGTCAGTTAATGGTAGTTTTTCCAGTTTAGTGCCCAAATTTGAATGTGATCGTTTTTCATAATAATTTTTGGTATTGAAATATTTCTTCCATAATAGTAATATTCCAGGAATACGTCATTTTTGGTGTGATCTTCATGGCCAAGTCATTTTGCTTTGGATGAAATAAGCAGTTTTGCGAATAGAAACCTCCAAATATGGTAAATCAGGCTAAAATGTCAAAATTGTTCAAAACCACAACTTTGACAAAAATGTTCTCCTTATCGACAAGGATTCTGTGTGTGGAACTTTTTCTTGGCTAACTGTAACTATTTAGCATTAACATAAAGCAAAAAGAAAGTATTTCCCAGAATCCTGGAACGGAATTGTGGTAGTCACTGAAGTTAGTATTAGCGCCACCAGCTGGACCAAGCGTTGTACTACAGCACAGTTCCTCTGGCACGGTTGAAAGAACAAGCATGAAAACCCAAGCTTTTGTAAAAGACTTTCTCTGTTATAACATTTGTATTTAGAGTAATCATTAGTTTTAAAAATGTGATATTTAATGTAATTAATGCATGTGTTTAATAGGATTAATATATTTGCTATGGCCTTCGTTTGCCATGCAGCGCATTGTGTAAGTGAAGTTATTAGAAAACTGATAAGCAACAGTTTCACTGTTTACAAGCATGTTTTAAGGCTTATTTCCTGTTACACTCATGCTCCATGGGAAAATTTAGATTAAATTGCATAAAGGAAAATCTATTTGTCAATTGTATACTATCTCTTTACACCCACAGGTGCGCCGTTTTTATTTTTAAAATGTTCTGTTGGCAATAGCAGATGCATTTTTAACACCAAACCCCAAAATTTGTATGTCATTTTAAAGCTTATTTTCTTATCTATATTTATATACAAGTGTACGCATAATATGGGCACAAAATGAGTCACTAAGGAAAAATTGTGTGTTACCATTGGGCTTGTGCTACATAAATAAATCAGATCTCCTCCCAGCTTGCTCTGGAACAGTCCAAAGGAAAATAATATCCACTTGTATTTCTCAAAGTATAATCCATTCTGCAGAAATAATACAAAAATGAGCATTTATCTTTAGCAAAAAAAAAGAGCACAGATGTTGCCCTTTCACTTTTAACAGACTTTTAGCTTTGTTTTTCACCGAAACAACTGGTATCCACGTGTTCCTTAGCTCCTTATCTTTCAAATGAGACTATTCCCGGAGAGCTAGGAGCATTTTTGGGTCCGCAACAGCTCCCGTGAGTACAGCTAGCGCTGCTGTTTGCGCACTGGTCACTGATCTTTGTTGTCTTCCCTACTTCTTTGCATCTATTTCCTGGCCGTTTGATTGACATGTCCGTGTAGCCAATGAGGAACGCTTTCGAGCAAGGGGTGGGACAATGGTGTCCTGTCTTATTTTGTGCCTGTAGAATTGTGTGTAATGGCAGTCAAAAGACGCTCTCGAAGCTGCAATGAGTTTACAATAAAAATGTTTTTAACTTTGACATAAAAAAACCCCTCAGATTAGTAACTTATAAGTACCAATAATAAAAAATATAGTTTCTATGATGAATAAATGTCAGTAAAGCAATTTGGCTGTGCCAAATTGTGCCAAATGTGCACTACTTGATGAAAAGGAGAAAGTGTGTGTCAACAACACAATGAACATAGGCTTTGAATATTGTGAACTTAAAATGAAGTATGCCTTTTTTAGGGCCTTTTAGAAATTGAAAGTTTTAGGCGAAGCTAAAAAGTTTTTTTCCCCAAACTTCAAAGGATGCAGAGTGAAATAGGAATGACAAACATTATTTTAGTATATATTTACATAAACTAGAAGGCTCTAGCTTTAATATGATGCATCACACAAGCATGTGACATGTAAGATGTGTTTTTAAATAAGCAAAGACATTTGGGTATGCCTAACTTTTGTGCATAAGCCAAAATGAGGCGGGTGTTAAGAGGTTAAACAGAAAAAAATAATCGATTAAAATCGAAAATTGGATTTGGTGTGAAAAACTTGGAGATTTTTTTTTTTTGCCATATAGCCTAGCCCTACTTCATATAGCAAAAATATGTTTTAATGTGTGGTTTATTTCATTATTACCAGTATTTCTGCATTGCCGAACACGTTAGCAGCACTACTCACAGGAGAAACTCAGGCTAGAGGCATTTGTTCACAAGAACTTTGTCCCCCATGTTCATCTCCTGCTTTTGCCGCGTGCGTTGAGCCGCCGTGCCGTCTACCGCAGGACAAACCTGCCGTGACTCACTGTATGCAAGTGGGGTTAGCATGAACAGACTCTTAATTGAAACTGGACGCACCATGATCTGGTGTGAACGCTGCTTAAGAAGACAAGGCGTGTGTCTGTTTCGAGCCACTCCTCTGACAAACTCGCAGCCACACCTGAGCTCCCACAATGCAATGCTGGACATGCCTCTGACTGTTTACACATCAGCCCTGTGCTCCATCAAGGACGACTAAACACTAGTGCCCAGCCTTACTCTGCCCACATGAATGGGGGCTTAGTTGGGCGAGGTCTGGACTGTGATAGTTGTCATTGCTGTCTTTAAGCAGTTTACACACCAGTACTTATCATTCCACCCTTGTTTACACACTAAGATAATTGTATAGCTAGACACTTGAACCTAAGCCACAGAATTAACTCAGTAGCAGTAGTGGCTGTCAACTGATGTAATGTAATTTTAATCCACTAGATGTCGCCAGAATAATCCAACATGCTACTGGGGGGTGAGACTATTTATGGTTTTATCTTTATCTATTTATTTATTTGAATGGGGCAGTGCATGTCAATGAACAGACACATTAAAGACAATTTCCATCTGTTGTCCCATAGGGTTAGGGTCACACGGGTCAAATACAGCAACACGGTCAATACAGACTAGGCTGCTTTTATACCTCAGAGCCACGGACCTCACACAGTGCTCCAGAGCCAATGGAGAGGCCAGGCACCAAATTCAAATAGTAGTGCCACCAAAAAGGTAGAGAGGGCGCCACTCAGACGGTTTTAGGCTCAAAAGTGAGGTTTTATCTAATTTGCACTAAAATGTCAAAATGACCAGGACATGTATAGCCCGGTCGTAACACCATCTACAAATGACATTTTGTACTAAGGTCTGAATTAGGCTCCATTAATATGTGGGAGGGGTTAACTCCTTTAGCCATCTCCTTTGCCGCTAACGGAGCCGATCCATGGAGTAGCGCCACAGAACGGATTACTTTACTATCGCATTCTCCTTCATTACCAAAATACAACCGTGCCTATTCAGCGCAAACTCTTGATGTCACCCACATCTAACAATAACATCCGCCTCCTACGCTCACTGATTGGTTGGATGGGATTCAACCGATGTAATTGCAGACACTGGGACCAGACCCAGACGGTACATGCATGGAAATGATGATTGAGCGGAGTTTACGGAAGACCAGGCTAGGACATGAAGAGAGCATTATAAGAAACATGTGTTCAGTTTTTGAGTAAAAAAAAAGTTAATTTGATGTTTAGTTGTCCTTTCATCAGAGCCAAACTGCCTGTGCTCCTTCATCAGAGCCAAAATCAGTGTCAATTGTTTGGGATCAGATTGTTTGGACAGAAGGGGTGCGCCGGAGATTATGTAAATAAAGTGACTTGCAGAGAAGCAGTGCATTGTGGGAGAAACTCGTCTTACTCAACAATGAATAATGTCCGATGACAAGGTGAGAAACCAGTGTGGCAGGTCCGACAACCAGAGAAAGAGACCACTGAGAGAGACCAGAGAGAGACCACTGAGAGAGACCAGAGAGAGAGACCACTGAGAGAGACCAGAGAGAGACCACTGAGAGAGACCACTGAGAGAGACCACTGAGAGAGACCGGAGAGAGACCACTGAGAGAGACCGGAGAGAGACCGGAGAGAGACCGGAGAGAGACCGGAGAGAGACCGGAGAGAGACCGGAGAGAGACCGGAGAGAGACCGGAGAGAGACCAGAGAGAGACCAGAGAGAGACCAGAGAGAGACCAGAGAGAGACCAGAGAGAGACCAGAGAGAGACCAGAGAGAGACCAGAGAGAGAGACCAGAGAGAGACCAGAGAGAGACCAGAGAGAGACCAGAGAGAGACCAGAGAGAGACCAGAGAGAGACCAGAGAGAGACCAGAGAGAGACCAGAGAGAGACCAGAGAGAGCTGGGCGGCACGGTGGCTGAGTGGATAGCACTCTCGCCTCTCAGCAAGAAGGTCTTGGGTTCGAATCCCGGCCGGACCAGGGCCTTTCTGAGTGGAGTTTGCATGTTCTCCCCGTGTCTGCGTAGGTTTCCTCCGGGTACTCCGGTTTCCCCTACCACTAAAAATATGTACAATAGTTCTGGCATGCGCCTCCTGTTCGGCGACCCCGCTCCCATCTCTGTGTGGAGCGAGAGGACAAGTGCCCAAAAAATAACAATTGTAAACCCCTTTGTGACTCTGGTCTGTGAAAGGCGGTATATAAATAAAGCGAGACCAGAGCGAGACAGACCAGAGACAGACCAGAGAGAGACCAGAGCGAGACCAGAGCGAGACCAGAGAGAGACAGACCAGAGACAGACCAGAGAGAGACCAGAGCGAGACCAGAGCGAGACCAGAGCGAGACCAGAGCGAGACCAGAGAGAGACCAGAGAGAGACCAGAGAGAGACAGACCAGAGAGAGACAGACCAGAGAGAGACAGACCAGAGAGAGACCAGAGCGAGACCAGAGCGAGACCAGAGCGAGACCAGAGAGAGGCCAGAGAGAGACCAGAGAGAGACCAGAGAGAGACCAGAGAGAGACCAGAGAGAGACCAGAGACAGACCAGAGAGAGACCAGAGAGCGAAAGACAAAGAAAGGCAGATCAGAGAGAGAGATTAGACGGCATGTTGGACAAAGTATACGTGTTTTCCATGGGGCTAAAGTCACGTCCCTCAACTTTAATGACGTTATTTTTCCCACTAATAAAACTATAACCAGGAGGCTGTGCGCATGCTCGGTGGCAGGGCGAGGCAGCAGTAGAGTGCATTACGTTCTAAAGTATAAATTACATCCGTTTTATGATGGTTTTAACTATGGGTAAACGGGCCTCATTAAAGTTGGGGTACCGGACTTTAAAACACAGTAGTCACCAGTTTAGGCTATATGCAAAGACACATTAGACACAATAGAAACACAGGAGACCCGGAAGGAGCGGCAGGAACAGACTTTGTCCTGTCATAAAAGTAAAGCGTAGATTTAGTTCAATGTATACGTTTATGTGTATGTGTATGTATGAGTATGAGTAGAAGTATATGTAAAAGTCTGGTGCAGATATGTGAGACAGCTGGACTTCCTGTTGTATTTAGACCCCACACCGATCAAAGCGGCTCACCTGTGCGCGTGCAGCTCCGGACCAGGACTCAGGACTATAATGCGCCACTGATCGCTGAGATTGTGACGGCGTGCATGAGGGGGTGTGTCTCTCTGCATCCCGGAAACCCCTGCAGAGGAGTCACGTGGTTTCCCAGCTCTGACAGCAACGTGTGCGTCAAGACCATAGAACACTGTATATATTAAGACCATGGCTATAATCTGACTGTATACTGTTGGACATTGCTAACCCGCTAGCTCAATGAAGCCCACAGGGAAGAGCTCGTGGTGAAGTTTGACTGCTATCTCAGGCTTCTATTTACAGCCGTGTAAAAGTAAACTCTCAGTAACGTTTGTGTCACACTCACCTTTTGGGTGTAAATCTGTGGTTTAGTGCTCTCTGTACAAGAGAGAGAGACCAGAGAGAGAGGCAAGAGAGAGAGACCAGAGAGAGGGACCAGAGAGAGACACACAGACACAGTTAGACACAGCTTCAGAGTTAGATTTTATTATTATTATTATCTTTATTTATTATTATTATCTTTATTTATCAGACTCGAAGTCCATAAAAAACAAACAAACACATCACAAACACAACAGACAAACAGTTATAAAAGAAAACTGTACCAGAGCTTCCACAGAGCTGACTGGTAGCGCACAGAACTCATACTGGGGTTCACCAGAGACCGCACAAAATAGTTCTCACTGACATTCAGACGGCGTATAAACCTGTACATCATATTTCTCATGAGAGCATGGAAAGAGTTCACACGACTCTGACAGAACAGCAGACTAGCACTACTGGACCTGGGCTTTTTCAGCAGAATCCTGAAAGCATCATTATATGCAACTTTGAGCTTCTGTAGTGCAGCCTTCTTATATCTGCTCCACAGTGGAGCTGTATACAGAGGTGAACAGTACATTTTAAACAGTTTAATTTTAACATCGACTGTGCACATGTGAAATTTCCGCACTAAGGTGTTGGCTTGAGCGTACAGTTTACGACACTGGCGATTAATGTCATCATCATCACAGAGTCGGTCAGTTATGATGTGACCCAAGTATTTAATTTTGCTGCAAACACCCAGCTTTTGACCAGATAAGTAAAAGTCTGGAAAACAAAGATGTTGTCCCCTTTGGTGCGGCTGATTAGTACAGCGCTCTTGATGGAATAGGAAAATGCAAAAGAAATACAGCTGCGATTGCCACCCCACCAACCCAGAAATGGAAAATGACAATGGTGACGATAAAGTAAAATAGATGGATACAAATTCAGTAAAACCTCAGTTTCATATATCTAGGCTTGCCTTAATGTCACGATTTCTTTCTTTTGTTGATAATTAAACTTTGGAACTCAAGAGGGTGCAAGTTGCGCGGTGTAATCGGTAGTATTTGGACTCCTATGCAGAAGATAGTAGGCTCGAGCCCCGCCAAAGGTAAATTTAGTTTTGTATTGGCAAATAAAGTAAATATATTTAATTTCTGGAAAATACATGTTTTTTTGTCTAATCTAGGAGAGTGTTTAGTCCACTTAATGGGTATTCAAATCAATTAAACACTTTTTTTGTAAAACTGAATTGCTTTGGATGCAATATGTTGGTTGTTTCAACCCAATTGACTGAAATCCTCAAATAGTTCATGACGCATCTTTTCGAAAACAATATATTTAGACTATAGACAGTAAATATTACTATTAATGTTAGGGGGTTAGTGTTAACACTTAAGAATGTTATATATTTCTGTCCACAAAGTGGCCTTCGAACCATGGGCCGATAAATGGGCTGCAATCCCTTAATGCTTCATGGGGCTTCATATTGCCATCACACAGTACAACAGTACAAGTGCTAAATACAAGTACTAAGTTCAAGTTAGTGCTAAATAAGAGACATTTAGCAGTGCAAAAAAGTGACAGTAGCATAAAGTGACTGTCGTAAAGGTCAGGGAAGACACTGCTCTTATGGAGGTTCTGATCCCGCTGTAGTCTAGTGGACTATAGTGAGACTATACTGGGGCTATAGTGAGACCGCATTGAGACTACAGTGGGATTACAGTAAGATTATACTAGGAGCACAGAGATGTCCTTGGGGGACACTTGGAGAGGGATCTCGTCAGTCGTGGTCACAAATGGAACCAGTTCTATAGCGTTGTGTGTGAATGTGTGTAGTTGTGTGTGTGTGTCTGCGTCGCTGAAGGTCAGTGTGTTTCTGTTGAAGTCCAGCTTCACTCTGACTCTGTGCAGATGATTCACAGAGAGATGTGTCACAGAGTCAGATTGAGACAGAGAGTAAGCTGTGTATTTATCTCCTGTAAACCCCACCCCCCACACCCCCACCTCTGTCCTCTCCTCTCTCTCAACAGACCCACTCACCCCCACCCCCCAGTACTTACTATCCCGGACCACCACCTCCCAGCTGTGAGAACCCACCCTATAGGCCCTGGAGCCCAGGACGGTGTAGAAACGTTCTCTCTCTGGGTTCTGAGGGCTCCTCCTTGTCCCGCCCCTCCTCACTGAACTGAGGTTGTCAGACACCACCAGTTCAGACGCCGCTCTGTTGGGATCCAGGATGACCGGCCAGAACTGCACCAGTCTCTGCATGTTCTTCCAGATGTGGAAGCCCAGGTTGCCCAGATGTTTTGCCTGGTCGATGAGAGCGTCTTGTCCCATGGTGGTGTTCTCCAGAGCTGTGTCCAGAAAGGTCCTGGCTCTGCTCCTTCTGGTCGTCAGCTCTGTCTCTGAGAGGCTTCTGGACACAGTCTCCATGTCTCTGCTTACGGCGGCCATCTTGTCCAGCAGTCTCTGTGTCTTCTGCTGCTGCTCCTCCTTCAGAGCCATAATCCTGGTCTCCTCTTCCTCCCACAAGAACTGGTGCAGTTTGTTGAACTGATCTCCAATCAGTTTCTCTGTTTGTTCAGTTTGTGCAGCGATATGAGACACAGCCACCTGCATCTCCTCATGAGTCTGAGAGAGAATCTGCAAGAGAAAGGTGTGTGAGTGTGAGAGTGTGTGTGTGTGTGTGTGTGTGTGTGTGTCTGCGTTTGTACCTTCAGTTTTTCCTGTAGGAACCTCAGATCCTCCCTCAGCTCCTCCCTTAGCTCCTCTCTCAGCAGTGAGGCCTTCTCCCTCGGCAGTGAGGCCTCCTTCTCTTTGGAACTAAAGCTAAGGTTCCTAAACACCAGGAAAGCCATAAGACAGAATGGGAACAGCCCGATGCAGACATATTTGAGCGCTGACTTCTTCTTCTTCTCCTTCTCCTCTGCAGACAGTCGCTTCATCTCCTCCTCAAACGTCTGCACCAGGTTCCTGAGGGACAGGTTGAGGCGAGGAGCCTTCGAGGAGCCTTTCTTACAAACAGGACAGGTCTTTATGGCCTTGTTCTTCCACCAGCTCAGCAGACACACTCTACAGAAGCTGTGGCTGCAGCTCAGAAGCAGAGGATCTCTGAAGAGGTCACAGCAGATGGAGCATGTCAGGTCCTCCTCCAGCCGGGCGGCCATTTTGGCTGTACAGAAAGACACAAGATGGCGGCTGTGTTGAAGATTGTAATACAGACTGAACTTGACAAACAAAGCAAAAAAGAAAACGGAGAGGTCTTTCTCACGTCCTCACCACAGTCTGTCTCACTCTGGTCCCTTTATGGTCTCTCTCTGGTCTCCCTTTGGTCCTTGTCTGATCTCTCGCTGGTCTATGATTTCTCCCTGGTCTTTCTCTGATGTCTCTCTGAGCTCTTTCTCTGGTCTTTCTCTCTGGTTTGTCTCTGCTCTCTCTCACTGGTTCTTCTCTCTGGTTTGTCTCTGCTCTCTCTGGTGCTTTTGTCTATGCTCACCTGGTGCCTCACTCTGTCTGTGTATACCATATGTGTGTTTCCTGGTGTCTTTCGGTTGAACCAGTTGGACACACCTGTGGAAGCTGCTCATAACCTGTTCGTCTGGAAAGTGTGTATTATAGACATGCAGAGGGGTGGGCCTAACGAGCCATGATTGACAGAGAAACAACCATCAGCATGCAGCTGGAGTGTTGTTGAGATAAACAGAGTTAAAGTAAAAAGAGTAATAAAAACATAATCACAAAGAGGAGAAAACTGGGGCATTCAGTGGGTAGAGGAAAAGTTAAATAGCCTTTATTAATACCTGGCTAAAATGTAAAAAACGCCAACGCAATTTGGCCTCTCAGACCTTCTTCAGGGCATGTGTTGCATTTAGTTTAATTAATATAATATATATATATATATATATATATATATATATATATATATATATATATATATATATATATATATATATACACACACACATTATTATATGCCCTACTTTACTGATGGGGGTAGTCTAAGGGGATATAGATTTGTTTTTGTTTTGTTTGTTAGTTTTTTTGTTGTGATTTTTTGCATTGTGGTTGTGTTGTGGAGATTGTGAGAGGTGGTTGGATATAAATAAGCTTTTGCTTCTGCCAACCCCCTTTTCAAACTATGCATATGCTATACAAGAGAAAGTGTTCTAAACAATGTTTTTGCAAGTTTTAAATAAATAAATTGATTGATTTTATTGATATATACTGTATATGAGTATGATATGTATCTGGTCTCTCTCTAGTCTCTCTCTGTTCTCTTTTCTGCTTCTCTTTGGTCTCTCTCTGGCAACCACTGCTCCTCACAGAAGCCTTGGTGGCATCAGGATCAAATGCGGAGGACAAATTGTTGGTCTCTCTCTCTGGTCTCTCTCTGATCTCTCTCTGATCTCTCTCTGATCTCTCTCTGGTCTCTCTCTGGTCTCTCTCTGGTCTCTCTCTGGTCTCTCTCTGGTCTCTCTCTGGTCTCTCTCTGGTCTCTCTCTGGTCTCTCTCTGGTCTCTCTCTGGTCTCTCTCTGGTCTCTCTCTGGTCTCTCTCTGGTCTCTCTCTGGTCTCTCTCTGGTCTCTCTCTGGTCTCTCTCTGGTCTCTCTCTGGTCTCTCTCTGGTCTCTCTCTGGTCTCTCTCTGGTCTCTCTGACCCTGGGAGACTGGTGTAAAAATGACTGAGGGTACCTTTAAAGAATTAAATAAATAATCTAAAAAACAATTTTACTTGAAAAATAAATCAAATTTTAATATTATGAAATTAAAATTATATCTACTTGTGAGCAGTCCGAGTGGATTTCTCAGGAGCAGTGGCCATCTTGGAGTTCCAGGTGCGGAGGCCATCTAGGGCGACACAGTGGCTGAGTGGTTAGCCCTCTTGCTTCTCAGCAAGAAGGTCCTGGGTTCGGTTTCTGGTTGGGAAAGGGCCTTTCTGAGTGGATGTTGTATGTTCTCCCATGTCTGGCTTGGTTTCCTCTGGGTGTTCCAGTTTATCCTACCACTAAAAACATGTACAATAGGTCTGGCCTCTTGTAGGCGACTTGCTTTATCTCTGTGTGGAATGAGAGACAAATGCAATCAATTGTAAAGCGCTTTGTGACTTGGGTCTGTGAAAGGCGCTATATAAATATAGATTACTTACTTTACTTGTGTTCCAGGAGTGGTGGCTCAGTACATGATCTCTTCGCCTGTCTGCGTCTCTGGAGGCTTGTTCCCATGGTGACAGACAAAGTGGATCCCGGAGAGGCGAGTCAGTAACAGGTTCACTGATTGGAGGAGGAGCACGAGCAGGAACAACCAATAGCATCGCTCGAACCGCTCGCTGTGCGTCTGGAACACGAAGGACGTTTCACCGAAATTTGCAATCCGCTCAGTGACGCCCCCTATGGTCACCTCAGCAGAAAACAGGACCAGGACCAGGAAGGCAGCACTACCTGTGGACCAGAAACCAGAAGTTTGGCCAGGGGATGAGCTGGGACCTGGGGAGTGGATTTGTCTGCTAAAAAAGAGGGTAACACACTGGTTTCATTTCCCTGCCTGGTCCAGAATAAATCTTAACCCCCCCCAGCAGTCTCAGAGCTGCTAAACATAAGTACAAGAAAAAAACTTACAACTATTATATACAAAATCATAGCTAGCTCAGATCAGACAATATCACTCCCATATCAAAAATGGGAAAGAGACTTAGCGCTGGCTCCTAATGCCAACTTCTGGCCTCACGTTTGTAATAATATCCATAACATGTCCAAAAATACAAATCTACAATTAATACAGTACAAGATAATACATAGAACTTATTTCACACCACAGAAACTCTCAAAATGTACTTAAATCTCGGATACATGCACCAACTGCACACAAAATACAACAGACACCTACATTCACGCCATATGGTTCTGTTCACCTGTTTTCCTTTTCTGGAGACAGGTGACAGAATCACTCTCTGCCCTCTTGGACTGTCACATCCCACTCTGCCCATCCCTCTGCATTTTGGGAGATACATCATCACTAACACTCAACCCATCAGATACTAAAGATTTACTGATTGCCCTAACCATCGCAAAGAAAACCATACTCATTAACTGGAAATCAAAAACTAAAATAAGTATTAACCAATGGAAAAATGTACTGTCAGATCACATGGTAGAGTCACATTCAAACATCTTCAATAAACTGTTTCTTTGCCCAACTCCCTCAAGGTCCCTTCTCTCACTCTCGCTTTGACCAACAGAACACCCACATACACCTGAACTTTGCTGCCGTTGTCATCTACATCATCACCATTATCATCATCACTAATATTGCTATTATGTTTTTATTATCATGATTGGTCGCTGTCATCACCATGCTCTTAACAATTTCATTATTGGCATTATTTAATTGCATATCGATATAGGAAATGATAGCTTCTTCCCCCCACCATCTCCTGTCTTTTCATGCATCACATTAGAGTAGTACTGAAAAAATGTAATAAATACACATAGGGCCGGTCGGACGTGGGAGAGAAACCCACTTCGGGACATCCCCTCGTGTCTGCCTTTTAATGCACTGTAGAACACATGTCACAACGTAGTGGAACTGTAAAACTAATACACTTAAAATAGGGAAGGGCGGACGGTGGAGGGAAGATAGCAGTGCACCATGAAATTATGAATTATTATTACTGTTATTGTTATAATAGAGATTGTGATAATGATAGTGATTATTATTATTATTATTAATAATAAGATTGTTATTATAATTATTATTATTGTTTATAATCTCCAATTGGAAACTCAAATGGTTTTTGGTCATGATGATTAATGTGGATTATTATTATTGGTGGCGATGGTGACAATGTGTGGATGACAATAATATTGTATCTATTTCAACTACCTTGACACGCATACACGCACACACACACATACACGCGCACATACACGTACACGTACACAAACACTCACAGAATACCTCCCTCAGTTACTACTAATTTCCTTGATTTGTTATTGTCTTATTTATTTTTGTTTGTTTTTGTTTTGTATTTTGTCAACATCAGACTTTTATGTTATTATTGCTTTTGTATTGTTTGTTTGTTGTTTGTATTGTTTGTTTGTTGTTTGTGTAAATGTTGCATTAAAAAAAAAAAAAAAAAAAAAAAAAAAAAAGAGGGTAACATTAACTCACAAAGTCCCAAGGTCACATGATTCTAGTCAACCAGCCCTAATTGTCCTCTCACCTATGATGATGGTCCACAAGTTAAGCCCTGATGGTCCGCTCACAACATGTGACGGCCGACCAAATGCGTTGTAGAAGAAGAATCCACAGCTCAGAGACGAGAAGAGCACCACCACTGAGGAGAAAACCAGGACCGTGACGTGGAGACCAGCTGGGATATGGACCAGGAGAGGCGAGAAGACTGTGGATCAGAGACCAGAGGTTAAACAAGAGACATGCTGGGATCTGGACCAGGACAGCTGAGGATACAGTGGACCAGAGTGAGATCAGTGTCCAGCTGGGACCAAACTAAAATGAAAGTTCTTCACAAACCGAAAAGGTACAAAAGCATCAGTTGAAGTTGTGAAAATGTTTCTTGATTTTGGTTTGAAAATTGGTCAATGGAACAAATACTTCTGGTTTCTCTCTCTCTGGTCTCTTTCTGGTCTCTCTCTGGTCTCTTTCTCTTCTCTCTGGTCTTACTCTGCTCCCTGTCTGGTATCTCTCTCTCTGGTCTCCTGGTCTCTCTCTCGTCTCTGTCTCTCTCTGATCTCTCTCTTGTCTCTCTTTGGCCTCTTTCTCTGGTCTCCTGGCCTCTCTCTGGTCTCTCTCTAGTCTCTGCCTGGTCTCTCTTCTCTCTCTGGTCTACTGCTCTCTCTCTAGTTTATCTCTTCTATCGTGGTCTCTATATCTGGTATCCTGGTCTCTCTCTACTCTCTGGCCTCTCTCTGGTCTCTCTACAGTCCCTTCCCCCACGCTCTGGTCCTGATGAAGAAGTGAGTGTTTGAGCTCAGTGACCCGTGAGACTGCCTCCCCCTCAGCTCATCAAACTGTGGCTCCAACAGAACACCACTCCAAAGTTCACTCTCTCTGGTATCTATCTGCTCTCTCTCTGGTCTCTTTCTGCTGTCTCTCTCACTGAAAACTGAAAACAAACACCTTGCTGTCTGTTTTTGATCAATTATTGATTATATTGAAATATAAATGAGTTGGAGTCAGTGACACTGTGTAAGTGTCACTGACATACGTATACATGTATGTGTTTATACTTATGAAAACACACCAATATGTATTTGTTGTATATATTCATACACACATATATATATATATATATATATATATATATATATATAATATATGTGTATGAACACACACATATCTATACTCACAGTAGAAGGCGGCAGGCCGGGTCCCCAGCCCACACTGTCGGCCCCTGGTTCCCTTCAGGAGCCCATACTGAACGTCTCCTATGAAGTCCTGGAGCTCGCTCGCCGTGGCGTTCACCAGCTCGGCGCCAGTGCGACACAAAACCATCGCTTTGATCCAGAATGGCATTGCTATGGCAACCACGGCCAGCAGCGCACATACCAGCGACAGAACTGCGGCCAGGGACAGAAGCAGTTTCTTCTGGAGCGGGACCATCACTCAGGGACCTTCAAACAATCAGCGAGTGAGCATCAAACCATCAGTGAGGGACCTTCAAACCATCTGTGAGGGACCATCAAACTATCTGTGAGGGAATATCAAACCATCAGTGAGGAGTACATGTGTCCAGTTCAGCAGATCTTCTTCCATCTGTAAAAACAGGTGCAAAGACAGTGTCTCATGGTTTAGGAGAGAGGGGAGGGGCCAGGAGGGGGAGAGAGGGGCAGAGGGAGGGACCAGGATACTGAGCAGTGCAATGACAGTGGCCTCCTGTGGACACTCACTGATATCACACCATGTAAACTGCAAGTGACGTCAGAGCAGGAGATCAGGGTCCAGGGCTGGATACAGACCATTTCTACAGCAGGACTGAGCCAGGTCTACAGCAGGACTGAAACAGGACTGAACCAGGTCTACAACAGGACTGAACCAGGTCTACAACAGGACTGACCCAGGACTGGACTGCATCATGAGGTTAGTGGCTTTTTCACTTTTCTGAGTTCATTTTTCGTGTCACTCTCACTCTCTCTCTCACATACACACACACACACCCACACACACACACAGTCTCTATCTGTCTCTGGTCTCTCTTTGGTCTATGTCTCGGATTCTGTGGTCTCTATGGTCTCTCTCTCTGTGGTCTTTGCGGTCCCTCTGTGGTCTATGTGGTCTCTGTGTGGTCCCTCTGGTCTTTCTGTGGTATACTGCATGTTGTCTTTCTATGGTCTCTGTGGTCCCTCTGTGGTCCTGATGTGTCTGACTTGTTTCTGTGGTTGTAAATAAAGTTCATACACTTGACTCTTTAGTAACAGGTGTTGAAGCAGATGTCAGATGATGGTGGTTTCCATAGTAACAGACTCAGAATACATTGGGAGGAGTCACCAAAACATAAAACCCAGTCCCAATCTTTAATGTTGACATACTGTCCTCAGACTTCCCACGCTGTTTGCTCTGCTCTCATTGGCCGCAGAGGGTAACGTGATAACGCTCAGGTCCATGTACGGAAGCCTGGAGTCCCCAAACTTCCCAGAGCCGTATCCCCCCAACCATCAGCTGGTCTGGGAACTGAGGGTCCCACATGGTCTCCGCATCCGCCTGGACTTCAGCCACTTCCACCTGGAGCCATCATACCTGTGCGAATATGACAGGGTCAAGGTGATGCTAATGTTCATGCTAATACTAATGCTAACATGTTAACTGGACTTATGATGATGGTATGATGGCTAATGCTATGGACAACACTAGATCATACGGAATCGGGACGGAAGCGGAAGTAAATATTACAAATTACCTATTAATGCCTAAATTTAACCAGCTATTCCCATAAAATAACCCCAACCCAGCCTTAACCCTAATCTTAACCATCTTACTCAGACGCCTAAAACTTAACCAGTCACCACTTAAGGACTTATTAGTCTAAAACTAATTCAAAAGTACGAGTGTTACTTCCGGTTTCGTCCCGATTCTGTATATCAGTGTCTCCCAAAGTGGGGTCCGCGGCCCCCTGGTGGGCCGCGAGGGTACTGCAGGGGGGCCGCGGGAGGTCATAAAAAAAAATAAAAAAATAAAATAATAATTTAATGTTAAATTTATAATGTTTTGTTTGTAATATTAAAATATTTGTGTTCATTATTTGACTTGAATAATCCACTGTAATCATTTTTGTATTACAATGTTTGTAGCAGAGGCTATTTCCCCAAAATAAAATAACCAGAAGAGCCTTTTCTTAATGTTGTCTTCTTGGTTATTATTTTGGGGGGCCACGCAGACCCGTCAGACTTTTAAGGGGGCCTCAGTGTTTCTGAGTTTGGGAACGGCTGCTGTATATGATCTAGTGCCGACCCTAATGCTATGGGGTAACACGGATGCAACCTCTGAAGCTAGGCAGGGACCTGGTTAGTGCTGTGATGGGAGACCTCTGGGAACAACAGTGGCCACATTAGTGGGTAATTATGTATTGTTGATTTATAAACATGACTTACTTACAGTCATAGGTCACAAGGTCTGTGTCTCCCACTGTAAATATTAACCGACGTAGTCACGCCCATCTCCGCCGTTGAAACCACCACTTTCGCCGTCTATGGGCAGTTTCAAAATGACCGCCGGGGCTCAAAAATATGATAAAAAGTATTTGCACATTGGCTTTAGCTGGGACGAGCCCCATTCATTTGATGAAACTCCACAGCGACTAGACTAGACTGGTCCAAAAAATCAACTTCCCTCAGCATTGACACAGACACACATGTGGGACGTAGCGTTGGGCCAAGAGCATAAGCCAAGAGCCGACTTTTGGACCATCCTGTAAAGCCTTTTTTCGAGAGGAAAGAAGATACGCACATTAGCATTGACTAGTTTTTCTCCGGGTCCACCACCATCGGCCTGGGGTGGTATTGCAAGCATGTCAGCGCACGTCATTTTGGACATATTTGAGCCGCGACCCGTCCCACCGGTGCCTCCACATGTTGGTAGAGGAAACAGGAGCACCTGAAGAAGTGTAGTCATTAGTCAGATGTAAATAATTGTGTATTGTATATTTAGTATATATTGTATTGTGTCTGTATGATTAGAGGTGTTGTATTTTACTAATTAGGCCATTCTTTCTATTTATCAATTCTTTGCACTCTGTTAACCTGCTGTCACGTTGCCTCAGGGACTACAGATGAAAATTAGCTTGTGGCTATGACCGGTCTGAACAATACATTTCTGGTGAAGTCCACTGGTCTCGCCGCATTTCGTATGGATCCAAATCTCCGATCACTCTCAATTTCTCCAAATATCTTTCCTTAGAAATTACGTCCAGTGTATCACTATACTTCACGCGGTCAGAGTCGGCCGATTTCGTGGCTTTAGAAGACATTGTGAGAATGATCCGTGGCAAATGAACTGTGAGAAATGATCCGTGCTATATAATCTAGACAAACAACATGGCGTTCGCGCAAAGCATCATGGGTAATAATCACGTGATCGAAAACCATCTATTGTGCAATGTCCCTGTCAAATAAACCAATAAATAAGAACACCTACACAGATACGGGGAGAACGTGCAAACTCCACACAGAAAGGTCTAGAGGTAGAATCGAACCCAGTTGTAGACCACTGTGTAAATCTAACACATTATTTCTAGCACAAGCTTTTGTTTGTGTTTGCATGTTCTCCCTGTGTCTGTGTTTGCATGCTCTTCCTGTGTCTGAGGAGTTCAAACTTCTTCTTCTTCATTTATTTCCGGCAGGCTGTACACTATAGAAGTGTAATGCTGCCCTCTTCCGTTCAGGTTGATACTACATTATTACACTCGTTGGTACAAACGATACAGTCTATGAGTCTATGGTACAAACTGGTGGAGAGAAGGAAGGATACAACTGCTTTGTCGATCAAACGCGAATTCTTTACCGAGGAAAATATAGATTTTATAGAAAATACTGCTAATCCAAGATCTGACAGCTGCTTGTACATACTCTGCCTTTCTGTTGAGTATAGAGCACAAAACAATAACACATGAGGCACCGTTTCAGGTTGACCACACTGACATAATCCATCACGATGCTTGCCAATGATTTTCAAATATGCTGCTAGCCCACAATGCCCCAGCCTCAATCTAACAATCTTTACCTGATTTGCCCGGCTAGATATCCACACAGGCCTAATATTTTGCACCAGAGGCTGAGAATTAAAATAATGCCTCCCCCTTTTCTCTTTCTCCCACACTTTTTGCCACTGTTTTTGCACAAAACTTTTTATGATACTTATACACTCTAATTTTCCCAAACAGATTTTATACTCTATTTCCTCACACCGAAGAGACTGCTTAGCCAGTGTATCAGCTCTCTCATTCCCAACTATACCTGAATGAGATGGGATCCAGCAAAATACTAGATCCCCTTGCTTCAAGCCGACAGAGTCAACACAAAATCTCCAAGATTATATCGGCTCGGGCCCCAGACAGGCCAGCAGATATAGCCTGTAAAGCAGACATTGAATCTGAATAAACATAAGAGGATTCAAAATTATTCCTCTCTACGCAATCAAGAGCCCACCAGATGGCTAGCAACTCAGTTGTGAACACAGATACTTGATCTGACACACGCATACTCTTACTAATTTCATTATTAATCACATAAACTCCAAATCCGGCCCTTCCCGAGCCCGGATCCTTTGACCCATCTGTAAAAACATGATACAACTGATCCTTTTTAAAATCCACTAAATCATTTATTTGGGCACTAGCTCGGCTCTTGTCCATTCCCACCAGATCCAGCCAGACTTCAGGCTCTGGTAAAAGCCAGAATGGAGCTGGGGACCACCCTAGTCCAACCACACTTCCATCCTCCAAACCCACGTTGCTAGCCATCTGACATATGGATCTTAAGAATGTGTCTTTATCTTCCCTCTTTTCAAACTCCCAACAGTCTTCCAGGAGGCACTTGGCTGCTGAGTTGAGCTTGAAACCAGCTAATCTAACCCAATACTGGAGACCCAATTTTTGCCTCCTAAGATTCAGAGGAGTTTCCCCCATCTCAACTAATAGAGCAGGAATAGAAGTAGTTGTAAAGGCTCCACTGCAGAATTGAAACTTATCAGAGTTCAGTGACTGAGAGCATGGGGTCAGACATCAGTGAAGGGAGTGGACCAATCACGCTGCGAGAGGCTTGTGTTTATGTTAGCGATAGCGCGTTAGCAATAGCCTTAGCCTCATTAGGAGGAACCCTCACAAACTGCCCTTTCTCATGAACCTCACTATGTAACTGGACTAAGTCAGACCAGATATACAGGCCTCTGTCTATCTCTCTGTCTCTGTACGTGTCCTTCTCTGTCTGTATCTGCCGCTCTGTCCCTGTCCCTCTCTGTCTGTATCTGCTGCTCTGTCCCTGTCCCTCTCTGTCTGTATCTGCTGCTCTGTCCCTGTCCCTCTCTGTCTGTATCTGCCGCTCTGTCTCTGTCCCTCTCTGTCTGTATCTGCCGCTCTGTCCCTGTCCCTCTCTGTCTGTATCTGCCGCTCTGTCCCTGTCCCTCTCTGTCTGTATCTGCTGCTCTGTCCCTGTCCCTCTCTGTCTGTATCTGCTGCTCTGTCCCTGTCCCTCTCTGTCTGTATCTGCCGCTCTGTCTCTGTCCCTCTCTGTCTGTATCTGCTGCTCTGTCCCTGTCCCTCTCTGTCTGTATCTGCCTCTCTGTCTCTGTCCCTGTCGCTGTCTGTATCTGTATCTGCCTCTCTGTCCCTGTCTCTGTCTGTATCTGCCTCTCTGTCTCTGTCTGTCTCCATCGCTCTGTCTCAGACTCTGACCCCTGTCCCTCTGACCCCTCACCCCTGTCCCTGTGACCCTTGTCCCTCTGAGTCCTGTCTCTCTGTCCTTCTATCCCCTGTCCCTCTGTCGCTCTGACCCCTGTCCCTCTGACCCGTCTCTCTGTCCCTCTGACCCTTGTCCTTCTGACCCCTGTCTCTCTGTCCCTCTGACCCGTGTCCCTCTGACCCCTGTCCTTCTAACCCCTGTCTCTCTAACCCCTGTCTCTCTGACCCGTGTCGCTCTGACCCCTGTCTGGTGTTTAGTTTAGTTTATTCACAATTCACACAGTCCCTAAAAGTACATGTGTTACATTGTGAAAATGGAACTCCCAGAAGCAGAAGCTTTTACATTAGGGGTCCATCACACCACCACCACCACCACCACCACAGTCACAAACCTACAGTCAAACATACATCATAATATAAATAATAATAAAAATAATAGTAATAATAATAAAAAGTAACTAGTGCTCCCAGAATACATAAGTAATAATAATAATAATAATGACAGTAAAGATAATAATCCTAAATCAATAACAATAATAGATAAATAAAGAATAAGAAATAATAACATCTTCACCACACTTCAAGGAAGTACAGGACACTTAGGCAGGCGAAGCTGCTGAATGCTCATCTCCACTACCAATAATAATTTTATAGTAATGATAAGAATAGTATTTAATGTATTCCTAATATATAGTTGTAAGTGTTTGCAGCTGGAGTTTACTGTAGGGTAACTTCTGCCAGCCCTGAGATCATGGCTGTGAAAGAGAGATCTACCTCTCGCCTCAAACAGATACAAGGTAGAGAGTGGTTCAAGACTCTTTGTGCTTCAACGCTTTCATGCTGTCACATACCTCCCCAGTAGATGAGCCTTCAGTTCCCTCTTAAATTTGGATAATGTGGCACATTGCTTTAGGTTACTATCCAACTCATTCCATGTAGTTGGGCCTTTGTGGCAAATACTAAAACTTGTGCATTTTAATTTTCTGTATTTCCCTTTAGGCAGCAGTTTGTTCCTAGTATTATGTTGGTGTGATGGTAAATATAATGGAATGAGTTCACACAATCGAACATTTAACTTGTTAACCACACTATACATTGTGCATGCATTATGGTAGAGATTAACTTCAGGCAACTTCAATAGACCGTATCTATGGAAGAGAACATCTGTGGGAGCATGACCCAAGGACCAAGAAAGTGCTCTTATGGCTTTCTTTTGTAATATTTGAAGTTTAGACATGTACGTGGGGTAGGTATTATTCCATATGATATTACAGTAATTCAAATGAGGCTCGAACAGAGATCTATACAAGGACAGTAAAGCTTCTAAGGGAAGAAACTGTCTCACTTTAAACAATAAACCTACAATTTTTGAAAATTTTTTAGTTTTAAATTTTTTCCAGTTGAGAGTCAGACCCATCTATGTTCACGTAGTGTTGTCTACCATAGACATAGTCCCTAAACCACTGGAGAGCTACACCCCGGACGCCATAGTGAGAGAGTTTACCAAGTAAGACTTGAAAGTCAATCGAGTCAAATGCTTTGGAAAGGTCGAGAAAAACCCCAACACCAATTTCTCTACCCTCAAGAGCATTGTTGATTTTTTCAACTAGATCTAATATGGCCATATACGTGCTGCTGCTTTTCCTGAAGCCATATTGTGAAGGATCCAGTATGTTGTGTTTGTTTAAATAATCTAGTAATCTATCATAAACTACTCGTTCCAAAATTTTGGACAGGGTGGGCAGAATAGATATGGGTCTGTAGTTGTGTATGTCATTTTTGTCCCCTGACTTATATATAGGTATTATTTTCGCCACCTTAGTTTGTTCAGGGACAATGCCTTGTTGTAAAGATAGATTAATTATATGAGTCACTGGTTCAGCTATTTCATTCACAATGGCTTTCAAGATTTTGCTGCAAATGCCATCAGCACCAGCTGTATATAACATTTCATTTTATTTATTATATTGGTTACTTCCATTTTGCAGGTAGGTCTGAGGTAGCAGGAGCTAGAGTAATTGTTTGTCAAAAAATCCTTATAATTTACACCCCCTGGTGGGCAGATTTGTTGGGACAGCTCTCTTCCAACTGATGAAAAAAACGCATTAAAAGCATTGGGCAAAGAGTCATTCTTGGTATTACTTTTAAACTCAGTTGATGCTCCGGCGTCAGGGAGGACTGGTGCTTTTTTGTTGCGTCCGAGCACCTCATTCAGCACCTTCCAAGACCCCTTCTGATCCCCTGAGATTGATTTAAGTCTTTTTGCAAAATAATTAGCTTTACTGACTCGTATTAAACTTGTTAATTTGTTCTTGTATTTTGTATATTGATCTTTATTAGAGCAATTTGGATTTCTTTTATATTCCTTATAGAGTTTATTTTTTTGCCGGATTGACTTTAAGATTCCATTTGTGATTTGTGGTCTCTCTGACTCCTGTCTCTCTGGCCCTCTGACCCTTGTACCCCTGTCCTTCTAACCCCTGTCTGTCTGACCCCTGTCTCTCTGACCCCTGTCCCTCTGACCCCTGTCTCTCTGACCCCTGTCCCTCTGACCCCTGTCCCTCTCCTCAGGTGGAGGCTGAAGCTGAGGTCCTTGGTGTCTTCTGTGGCCTGGTGTCCTCAGACACAGAGATGGTTCCTGGTTCCTTGTCGCTGGTGTCTCCTTCATGGTCCATGACGGTGACATTCACCTCCGACTTCTCCAACGAGGAGCGAGTCAGTGGATTCAGAGCTCACTATACAGCAGAAGGTTAAAGCCTTAACTTTAACTTAGTCTCATAAATAACACATGTTTAAAGCTAGGGTCTATCTTTAACCTTAGACATAGACGAGTGCCTGGAGCAGAAAGAGGCGCCTCAGTGCGATCACTTCTGTCATAACTTCATCGGAGGTTTCTACTGCTCCTGTCGCCATGGATACCAGCTCCACTCTGACAACCGCACCTGCACAGGTCAGAGAGATCTGAGAGAGACCTGAGAGAGACCAGAGTGATAGATAACTGTATCAGGACTTCCTTTCTTTTGTCCAGTCCAGTGCAGTGACCTGGTGTTCCATCAGTCCTCGGGTGTACTCCAGAGTCCGGACTTTCCCAGGTTTTACCCCCGGTCCTCAGACTGTCAGTACCAGATCCAGGTCCAGACCGGATTCAGGATTCGACTGGACTTTGACCCTGTCTTTGATGTGGAGGATCATCCAGAGGCCAAGTGTCCATACGACTATGTGAAGGTGAGTGACCAGAACCTCTACTATACTCTACAATACTCAACTGTACTCTACTCTATTCTACTTCACTGGTCCCTGGTTTATGACAGGGGTGATGTGTTCTAAATTAACACACAATAAGGTCAACCCTCCCAGCGGCAGAGAGACACCAGAGAGAGACACCAGAGAGAGACACCAGAGAGAGACACCAGAGAGAGAGACCAGAGAGAGAGACCAGAGAGAGAGACCAGAGAGAGAGACCAGAGAGAGAGACCAGAGAGAGGGACCAGAATCTAGAGATATCAAACCTGTAGTAGGTTTGAGCTGCTGCAGCTGTCAAAAGTTGTTCATACACTGTAAATTACAGCTGCAGGGGACATTGAGGAGCAGGACTGAGGACTGAGGGAAGACCAGTGGGACCAGAGGAACAGGAGGGTGCCCACAGGGAGCAGCACCAGGCAGAGGTGGCTTAGTCCAGCCTGCTTATAACTAACAAAGGTCTCTCTTGTTCTTAGGTGGTCTCCGGGTCTCAGGTCTTTGGTCCTTTCTGTGGGTCTGTGGCTCCTGGTCCGATCCAGACAGAGTCAAGTTCAGTGACCGTCAAGTTTCACAGTGACGACTCTGGAGAAAACAAGGGCTGGAGCCTGAAGTACTCTACAACCGGTAAGACCAGGATTGGACTTGGTCTGGACCAGGACTGGACTTGAACCAGAACAGGACTGGACCAGGAAACGTAATTGCGAGGTTCACCCTCGGACGGTTATCCCTCTCTAAGTAGTTAGCAGAGGCGTCCCTTGCCATTAGGCAAGGCAGGCAGCTGACTGGGGCCCCCAAACTACGGGCACTACTGTAAAGGAGACAGTAGTGCCCGTGGTGATGGTGCACTCGGGCAGTGACCCCGAAGCTGGAGGAGTTGCTACAGCAGATCCCTGGAACAACCTTGGAAATCTTGGTCCAGAAATGTGCAGAACCCTCCAGCTCCCAGACCTCTGACCTCTGGGTGAGGGTGAACTTAGCACATTGGGTGACCTTGGTCTGTAAAATGTGCTATATCAATAAATTAACATTATATGTTATATATGGTTTTAGTTTTTCCTGGTTGTATTAATGCTTCTCAGAGGTGGACTGCGGACCTCCTCCCCTCGTTCCCAACGCTCAGATTGTGGATGGAAACAAACCTGCGTTTGGGGCCAGAGTCCTGTACCTGTGTGAGAGCAGAACCAGCAACCAGACCATTGGTACAAGCAAAGCCAGCAACCAGACCAGCAACCAGACCATTGGTACAAGCAAAGCCAGCAACCAGACCAGCAACCAGACCATTGGTACGAGCCAGACCATCAACCAGACCATTGGTACAAGCCAGACCAGCAACCAGACCAGCAACCAGACCATTGGTACAAGCAAAGCCAGCAACCAGACCAGCAACCAGACCATTGGTACAAGCAAAGCCAGCAACCAGACCAGCAACCAGACCATTGGTACAAGCAAAGCCAGCAACCAGACCAGCCACCAGACCATGGGATCTCCCACTTTAGTCTTTCTCTTGTCTCTATCTGGCTTTTCTCTGGTCTCTCTTGTCTCTCTCTGGTCTCTTTCTGGTCTCTCTCTGGTCTCTTTCTGGTCTCTTTCTGGTCTCTCTCTACAGTCTCTCCCTGGTCTCTCTCGTCTCATCCTAGTCTCTCTCTCTGGTCTCACTCTGGTCTCTCTCTCTCTGGTCTCTCTCTAGTCTCTCTCTAGTCTCTCTCTGGTCTCACCCTGGTCTCTTTCTCTGGTCTCACTCTGGTCTCTCTCTCTGGTCTCACTCTGGTCTCACTTTGGTCTTTCTCTGGTCTCTCTCTCTGGTCCCTCTCTCTGGTCCCTCTCTCTGGTCTCTCTCTCTGGTCTCTTTCTTTGGTCCCTCTCTCTGGTTTCTTTCTCTTGTCTCTGTTCTCCCAAACAGAAAACACGAATCAAAATTACAATTATTCAGACAAACATTAAAATAAAAAATAAAAAGTAACAGTCAATATGCTGTCTCTGGTCTCTCTCTGGTCTCTGGTTTCTGTGCAGAGGTTGCGTGTGGAGCTGATGGGATCTGGAGGACTGAGACTGGGACTGACCGGCCGTCTTGTCCCTCAGGTCAGTCCCTCTGGTCTTTGGTCTTACCCTGGTCTGGTTTAACCCTGGTCTGGTCTAGGTTGTGGCGTGTCTCGGTCCCTGGTCTGGTCTCGGGTGAAGCGAATCGTTGGTGGTCGAACAGCAGAACTGGGGATGTTCCCGTGGCAAGTGCTGATCCGGGTCCAGGACCGGACCAGAGTCCCAGACCAGACCTGGTTTGGATCCGGGTCTTTGCTCTCAGAGTCCTGGGTCCTGACCGCGGCTCACATCCTGAGGTCCAGACGGAGAGACGGGACTGTGGCGGCGGTGAGAGCGGTGGACGTTCAGGTAGGAACTCACCCTGGTGTGGACCTGGTCCGGACCCGGTCTTGGCCTGGTCTAGCCCTGGTCTGTCCCTGTGCTGGACCTGGTCTGACCCTAGTCTGGACCTGGTCTGGTGCTGATCTGACACTAGTCTGGTCTTTTCTGACACTGGTCTGGTCTTGTCTGGTCTCAGGTGTTCCTTGGGGTCAAAAACACCCGTCGTCTCCATGAGGCACAGCAAAGGACTGTGGGAGTTGTAGTTCTTCATCCAGACTTCGACCCTCAGAACTACAACCACGACATAGCCCTCGTGTGGCTGAGCGAAGCTGCTCACATGAATGAGGTCATCAGCCCTGTGTGCCTTCCACCAATCAGAGAAGAGGTGAGACATGCCACCACTCACCTGCTTTAGACTTGCTTTAGACTTTTAAAGGTCTAAAGGACTCTTGTTTGTCCTCAGAGTGACCCTCTTCAACCACACTTCCTTGGTGTGGTCTCCGGGTGGGGCCTGACGTCTGCTGCCTCTGGACCCGCCACCGACCCAACCCAAGACTCGACCCAAGACCCGACTCAAGACTCGACCCAAGATCCGACCCAATACCCAACCCAAGACCTGGTCTCCTTGGTGCAGCTGCAGGGGGTCCCCTCTGAGCAGCTCCAGTGGGTCTTCCTACCGGTCGTGTCTCGGGCAGAATGTGAGGAGAGTTACAGGTCTCTGTCCACAGCCTTTACCATCGGGCCTCATATGTTCTGTGCCGGGTTCCAGGAGGGGGGGCGGGACTCCTGCTCAGGCGACAGCGGAGGGGCATACGTGGGCAGGGGGTGGGGTCGGGGCCGGTGGACAGTGCTCGGGATTGTGTCGTGGGGCGCCCCAGAGGATTGTGGTTCGGAGAAAGTCTACGGAGTTTATACACGAGTTCAGCCATATGTGGACTGGGTCTATAACGAGACCGGGCTGGACCCAGACCAGGACTAAACCATGTCTCACCTATACCTGTGTACTCGCCTCACATTACACCTGTGTTACAGCCCTCATATTACACCTGTGTTATTCACATTACACCTGTGTTTTAGACCTAACATTACACCTGTGTTACAGACCCCACATTACACCTGTGTTACAGACCCCACATTACACCTGTGTTACAGACCCCACATTACACATGTGTTACAGACCCCACATTACACATGTGTTACAGACCCCACATTACACATGTGTTACAGACCTCACATTACACCTGTGTTACAGACCTCACATTACACCTGTGTTATTCACATTACAACTGTATTAGACCTCACATTACACCTGTGTTACAGACCTCACATTACAACTGTATTAGACCTCACATTACACCTGTGTTACAGACCTCACATTACACCTGTGTTACGGACCTCACATTACACCTGTGTTATTCACATTACACCTGTATTATAGACCTCACATTACACCTGTGTTATTCACATTACACCTGTGTTATTCACATTACACCTGTGTCACAGACCTCACATTACACCTGTGTTACAGACCTCACATTACACCTGTTTTATTCACAATACACTTTTGTCACGGACCTCACATTACACCTGTGTTCCTCCTACAGTCTGACACCTGTGTTACAACTGTGTTCGTCACAGCATATTGACTGTTTATTTATAATAAAACACATTTAATTTGATTTTTGTTTCATGTTCTCTGCTTGGGCGAACAGAGAGAGAGACAAGGGAGAGACCAGAGAAAGAGAGAAGAGAAGGACCAGAGGTTGACCAGAGAGAGGAACAAGACGTTGAACAAAGAGAGGTACCAGAGGGAGGTTGACCACAGAGAGAGACCAGAGAGCAAGAAAAGATGGGGAGAGCAGAAAGAGACCAGAGACACCAGGGAGAGATACCAAATAGAGAGATAGACCAGAGAGATACCAGAGAGAAGGACCAGAGAGAGGGACGAGAGAGAGAGAGACCAGAGAGCGACCAGACAGAGACCAGAGAGACCAAAGAGAGTGACCAGAGAGACCACAGAGTCACCAGAGAAAGACTAGAGAGAGCCCAGAGAAATACCAGGGACCAGAATGGGACAATTAAGTGAGACCAAAGAGCGAGACCAGTAAGAGAGACACCAGACACAGAGACCAGAGAGAGGGACGAGAGAGAGACCAGGGGGACCAGAGAGAGACCAGAGAGACCGGACGGAGACCGGAAAATAGACCACAGAGAGAACAGATAGAGACCAGAGAGACACCAGAGAGAGAGACCAGTGAGAGAAATACACCAGAGAGAGAGCTGAGAGACAAGAAATAGACCAGAGAGAGACCAGAAAAGAGACCAGTAAGAGAGACCATGAGAAAGGCCAGAGAAAGAGTCCAGAGATAGACTAGAGAGAGAGACCAGAGACACACACTGTGTGTTTGTTGGTGCTTTATTGAGGTTCCTTAGACTCATGCAGCAGTGAGTGTGGAACATGCTCCAAACGCGTTGTACAAAAATATAAAGATACAAAAGAAGATTCTGCTCTGACCCACAGCACCTGAGGATCTGAAGACTGAGTGAGAGGGCAGGGGAGAAGAAGGGAGAGAGCTGAGGCGAGGAGGGGAAAGGAGCGGAGAGGGGAGAGATGAGGGGAGGTGAGGGAAGGAGGAGAGAGGGAATAGACAAGAGAAGAGGAGATTAAATTCTTAAATCTGACTTTTTCTGATTAGCGCTGGACTTTGCAACAGACAAAACTCCTCTGTCTTCAGATCCTCAGCGAGACGCAGCGGACGGTCGCAAGAAGCTAGCCTGGCTCTCGCCAGACCCTTGTGGTTCCGCCATGCTCCACCGGAGTCTTTTCGCTTCAGAAGCACAGCGATCTACAAGGGTCTGGCGAGAGTCAGGCTAGCAAGAAGCAGGATCGGGTGGAGACCCCGCAGGCACCGCTCAGACTACCAAGTTAGTGACTACACAAGACTCTGCCCCTCTGCTCCCACAGGACTCAGAGACCCTGAGGACTCAGACCCACCGTGTGGACTCAGACCCATGTGCACTCAGATCCCTGTGGATTCAGATCCCTGTGGATTCAGATCCCTGTGGATTCAGATCCCTGTGGATTCAGATCCCTGTGGATTTGGGAGCAGTGGGTTTGAGTTTCTCGCGTTCAAAACTGTGGAGAGAAAGAAGAAATGAGAAGCAGTGTTCTGTGGGATGGGACCAGCTTCAGACCCGCGGTCACATCCCCATGGTTTACTGAAGCAGAATATAACAGTCTGAACCCAGGGGGTGCTGTGGAGTCAGGCCGCAGCAGCTAACAGCATAAGAGTTTGTATTAGAGATTATAGACACATGCTACATACAGAGAGAAGACTGCCCCCTGTGGTCTGGCCACGTAGGTGCAGAGGTCCTAATGTGACGCTAACATCGGACTTTCAATCATAAATATATCAAATAAATAACATAACAGTAACAGTAATCCTCTTGCTCAACTCAGACTGCAGAACAAGTTAGCAATAAGTGGATATTTTTGTGCATTTAAAGTAATAGGTCAGAGGAGGTCAGAGGAGCAAGGGTAACACACTATGCCCCGCCCCCTGGTTCACCGTGACTATGCCCTGCCCCCTCGGTCATGTGACTATACCCCGCCGCCTCGATCATGGTGACTAAAGGCGCGTTCAGACCGCAGACGCTGGAACGCTGACGCCTTGACTGGACTCGGACTGGAAACTGATTATATCCGTTGCCTATGAGTTGCTGCCCCGCACACATTGGCAATCTGGCGAAAACGGGCCAGATTGACAGCAACTGGCCGTCAACTACAGTGTGTTTTCTGGCATAAACTGTAGAGGGCGCGCAATACACGCAATACACACTTGTTAATACGCACATCAGGTGATATCTCCGGATCTGAGTACAACTAGTTGCCGAAAAGTAGAACACGGGCAACTGACTGAATCCGGAGATCGACTGTTTATCTCCAGTTGTAAGAGCGCTCACATCGACAGATTTCGGCAACTGATCATCTCCCATCATCTACTCTAAGTTGCCAGAAGCCGCCTTGCAACTTGTTGTCTCCAGTTACTCTGAAGCCTAGCGTTCATCGACAAACAGTCACGGGAGTATGAGAACATATATGTTCACAAGCACAGAGTCCCCCATTGTCAACCCTGGTTTAGTTCTGGTTTGGCTCCTGTTTTGGCTGTTTACGAGTATTGTCAGTCTGCTCGCTCAGACCGCTAATGTCCCTGTGACTGATTGGTCGCTGCACGAGTGTCTCGAGGAAACGCTCAGCAATATTTATTTCCTGCGTGCGTCAATTTTCCGCTCCTGTGCTTCTACCACGCTTTGCTGCGCAATCTGTGCGTCTCTACCGCGCAGGCCGTGCGTGCATCCCGAGACGCACATGCAGTTCAACACTCAAATGGACGTCACCATTGACTTTGCATTGAAAGTCCCCGCAATGCATGATCCGGTCTGAACGCAGCTAAAGTTCCCCCCCATTGGTCAATGTGACTATGCCCTGCCCTCTCTGTCATGGTAATAATCGGACAGTGAGTAGAGTAGAGATGGTGGAGGCTGGAGGTTTGATCCAGTCACAGACGTATCACGGGCACTGTAAGTTAACTGTAAGGGCACTTACAGTGCACTGTAAGGGCACTGTAAGGGCACTGTAAGTGCACTGTAAGTAAGTCACTGGGACTGAAGGAAATGGCATAAAAAAGGACTATGATGTTAGTCTAGGATGTAGCATCCTGGTAGCATAAAGTTAGCATCACAGCAGCAACGGGGTTTCACAGCGACCAAACTCTGCACTTCTACTGAGACGTAGTAAATGAAGCTTTTATTTTAATTCTGGTCAAATCAAATGGGGCAATAGTGAGGCGTATGTTGAAGGCTCAGAAGCTAATAGCCCTGACAACAGTGACCACACCAAAGCTGCAGTTGTGCTAAAGTTGACTCAACGTTGATCTGATGCTAAAGCTAACTTGGTGCTAAAGCCAACGTGAACAGTAGAAGTGGAGCTCAGTCGTAGAGAAATAGTCAAAGTCACAGTTTTAAAAGTGTGCATTTGTGACAATTCAGTTCTTCCCTCAAATGTAAAAGTTGTTGATAAAATCTTCAGGCAAACATCACACATGTCCCAGTTTCTGTACAAGGTGCATCTCCATTAGCGTCCGTTAGCTTCTGTTAGCACCTGTTACCTTTGTTTGGGCCCATTAGCTTCTGTTAGCGCCCGTGGCTAACGAGGGCCGCAGCTGTTGTTGTAAATACTGTAAACATGCACAAAATCCAAAAGTGGAAATTCACATTCAAAAACAGGCAAAGTCCAGGTGTATTCGTCCCAAGATGACGATTCAGAGGAGTGTAGACACGCTACATTCAGTCTGCTGCAGTCTTTAGTCCAAACCTCAGAATGGAAATAATTAGATCACATTTATAAAACAGCTTCAAACAGGCACAAGATCAATTTTTCCTCAGAGAGAAATGTGAACACGTTCTATCATCTATGAGTTATTCATATGTTTCAGTCTTTGTCTGAGGACGCTCGGACACATTAGAGATCACAAATGGGTAAAAATTCTCAAACTTAAAGTTTGTATTTAGTAAACTTGTTCATTTCTAAAACTGGATAAAGACAACGTCACGGATTATAAGTGATGATGTGAAAAAGTCACAGTTTTAGTTTAAACATTAGTTTTGCTCTAATAAGTCAACAGCGTCTGGTTTCTGTTTCCCTTAAATGAATCGTCTAGTGTAAATGTTGCCGTGTAACATCACCACGGCCTGTGAGTCATGTGACATCACCACGGCCTGTGAGTCATGTGACATCACCACGGCCTGTGAGTCATGTGACATCACCACGGCCTGTGAGTCATGTGACATCACCACGGCCTGTGAGTCATGTGACATCACCACGGCCTGTGAGTCATGTGACATCACTGTGGTTACACATGCTTTAGAGCAGAGAGAAACCAGAGAGAGACCAGAGAGAGATCAGAGAGAGACTCTCTCTGGTCTCTCTCTCTGGTCTCTCTCTGGTCTCTCTCTCTGGTCTCTCTCTCTGGTCTCTCTCTCTGGTCTCTCTCGCTAATCTCTCTTTAATCTCCCTCTCTGGTCTCTTTCTAATATCTCCCTGGTTAGAGAAGTGTATAAAATGTGAGGGTTTTACCTTTTTATAAACCAAGGACCAGTGTAATGTTAATGATATATTTGTTACAGATATTAAAGATATATTTCTTCTCTATTTTGATGAATTTGTTCTCTATTTTGATAAATGTGTTGGTTTAGTTCTAAGTCGAGTCTAAAAGCATGTAGTTTATTTTTCCCAACAGTCGTGGATCCAAGAGTGAAACAATAAAGGCAATCCGTGAAACGATTGGGTGAAAACGTGTCCGCGTCAAGATGGGTTTGTGAAAAGACCGACGAGCAAGCAGCGTAAGTATCCGGCCCTGTTCAGTCAAAGGAGCTAGCGGCGGGGTTAGCATCCATTGCCTTCACTCAAACACGGATATTGTCGCCATTAGCATGAGCCGTGTTAACTTTGATTTGGTAGTAGCAGCATAAGCATTAGCTGCTGTGTTCAGTAGCAACTTGCAACTTCCAGTGTGGTCGCTTAGAGGAGCTAGGTGTGGGGTTAGCTCCCCTCACGTTCACGTTGAGAGGCAAGCAGCGGCGTTAGCTTCCACCGCGTTCAATTTAATTGTTCTCTTGACTCGGAGCAGCATTCATTGGAGTTTTTGGCGTTTGAACCTCGTGTCAGAGGATGAGTCCTGGAAGATCATGCAAGACGTGCAGCAGACATCAGGGAGCAACAGGAAGCAGCAGGAAGCAACAGGAAGCAGCAGGAAGTAGCATGGAGGAGGTGGTCTGGGCCATCAGGACTTCAGGATCACTGCAGACACACAAACATTATCATTGTCACAGTTCTATGGTTCTGTTGGGCGGGGCTAATGTTTGGTGGGGGCGGGACTAAGGTTTTTCAGGGGCATGACTAAGGTTCACTCACGTCCCCAGTTGAAGACTATGGCTGCTGTGATGATAGCGATTCCTCCCAGAATGGACACGACCGACAGGATCATAGCGTTCCGACCAAGACGCCGCGCCCCGTCCAAGTTCCCCTGCTGCAGGCTGTTCCTCGACTGGGCACAAGAGGGTGACTGACGTTAGCTTTCACACAGTCCACCTGGACCTAGACCAAACTGGGACTGGGCTGACCTGGCCTCCTCTAGATCAGTCCCAGTCCTGGCCCCCTATAGACCAGACTCAGTCTGACCCTGGCTTCCTCTATACTAGTCTCAGTCCTGGCTTCCCCTACTCTAGACCAATCCCTGTCCTAGCCTCCTCTAGAAGAGTCCCAGTCCTGGCCTCCTCTAGTCAAGTCCCAGTCCTGGACTCTTACCATGACGGAGAAGGTGAGGCCCACAATGTTGACGGGCCACATGGGGCAGAAACAAGCCAGGATGGCCAGCAGCAGGAAGTCCCTCGGCTTGGTTCCATCCTGAAGACCTTCACTGGGCTGACGGCAAAGAGAGGGTCTGGGGGACCCCCTAAGTGACCCCCTGGGAGAGCCTCCTGCCACTGACCCAGATCTGCTGCCAGGACGAGGTTTGGAGGGAGAGGCAGGCGCGACCACTCCATTACCTGCAGGAAGAGTAAAGCAATCAATCTAATGTCAGCTCTAATATCAGCTTTAAAGGTCCTGTATTACGCTTTTCTTTATGTTTCACAGTCAGTCCTATGCACATGTGTGATACACCATACAACACTTAAACCTTGTGATATTATAGCCATCTCTTGTGAACAGGTGACGTCACCTCAACTCAAACAGGCTGATTCAGAGATCAGTCTGCTCCTCTGTGTGTGAGCCCGCCTCCCCCCACCCGCACGGAGACGTAGCATCACGCTCTAACCGGTACTTAGTCATTTCAGACATGAGAAACGTTTTCCAACAAGGACAATCCGTCACATCCAGCCCTATGTCCTCGATGCACAATTAGACCCTAATTATTTAGTTTACAGAAGTATTCGGCGAGTTAGCGTCACTACTCACAGATCGAGGGGGTCCGTGTTCCGTCTTTTATCGTGGGAATAACACATGTTTTCAGATCAGCTTTTGAGTAAGTCCAGTTCCATTGTCCCTGTAGTTCTGGAACAGTCTCAGTGAAGTGTCGCAGATGAACCGGTATTATTAGGGCCAAATAGTGCGTCACAAATTTACACCCAAAACACATTTTATCCAAGTTGACGTGATCCGAACACTTTTAGTTGCTGACAAAAGCAGAAAACAGCAGCTCCCCGAGACCAAACCACATACGCTGGACTCAGGAGCCGGGAACTGGCTGCGCGCTCTGATTCGCTGTTTCGATCTGTCAATCACCTCCCAGCTTTTACTATTTTTTTTATTTTTATTATTTTTGACAACAAACAGAATACTTGTTTGACTATTGTTTACCCCATTTTGACAAAAGTATTTAAACACTATTTTAAATACAAAGCAAACGGGCTTATTGCGCGTCATATTCGTCATCAGAGTGGTAATCGTCACTGAAGTGCACCCAGGGCTGGACTGGGACAAAAAAACGGCCCGGGCATTTTTTCCTTCTTAGCGGCCCAGGCAACTCAAAAGGTTCAAGGAGCCATATTTGACAAAAAAACTAAAAACATCTGTCTGGAGCCGCAAAAAAAACAGCGTTGTATAAGGCTTATATGAAGGTAACAGGGGCTGAAGCTGTATTAGCTATATTAGCTGTATACATTAGCTATATTAGCCTAATATCTAAATGACAAAGTAAAGGCTACAAACACATAAAAACCATTCATGATTATCAAATGTGTATTTTCACTGCAGCGTGTCCTGGAGAGAATGACGCACCACGTGACGACTCTGCTTTAAGTTTAACCTTCATGCAATTGTACAAATACAGTAAATAAATCTGCTTTTTGGCTCCGAGTTCACCTGCATCACTGTCTGTTCATATCCATCACAGGCTGAAGTTTACTGGAGCTGAATGTCCTTAATGGCCTTTTCTTTCACCGTCTTTGCGAAGGTATTTGAAGTCTGAAAATAGGTGCTCTGACTTTATGATGAATGAATCTTTCAGTGAACAGTGTTTAAAGCTTCATTGTTCCTCGTGTTGCAACACAACTTTTTATTACATCGCAAACATGAAGCAGTCCTTCCTCATTGACTGAAAGCAAATGTTCATTCTCATTCTTACTCCAGTCTTATCGACTCTTCCTTTCTTTATCTTTGGGATCCGTGCTCACACGCCGGTTTGTTTAAAGCAGCGGCCGCCTAGCGCGGGCCGCGTCACAGGATATGACGCACTACGTTGACAGAAATGCTAAAATTGAATATTACTTATACAAGTTTTTGGAGCATTGAAAAACTTTAAGAATGTTGTTCCTCCTACAGAAACCACATTCAAACTAGAAATAAAATATAGCCCTCCCACTCCATTTTCAGACATTTTTTAAAAGGCTCCAGGAGCCACTTTAGGGGCACTAAAGGTTGCTGACCCCTGGTGTATACAGTATGTGCAAGCAAGTACTGTAGAGGATCAGGATGTCTGCAGTTTCAACAATAAAATAAAGTACAATAGTCTACATTAAACAGAGTAATAAACATGTCCCAGAGTGAGGGAGGTGGGCACAGACAATACTATTGTTTGTTACAGGGATGATAATTGGTCAAAAACGTCTGAAATGCATATTGTCAGCCATTTGCTGGCTCTAAATCTGTTTAATCTGTTCACAACATTTTACTTTTGGGCTCAAACATGAACTTTTAATGCGATGGGAAATTTAGGTACCCGAGCATTAATTTAGAGGAGAGGGGAGACGCGGACTGTTTTCTGCAGCGGTGTATTTATTGGGTGCACAAATTACGAAAAGACACGCATGGTCCTGTGCGCGTTTATGGTCTTGGGTACATGGTCACGTTGCGGCTACGCGCTCACCGTGTTGTGTTGTAAGCGGTTCCCGGTGAGCGGTTCCTGCGTCCAGCTCAGAGCCGCTGGATGCGGGAACACTGCGGCCGCTGAGGTGGTGGAATCCCGTTCGAGTACATACAGCAGGTGCCCCGCGGACACGCGCGCTCCCCTCGAACATTTCTCAACGGATTTACACTTTTCACAAACATGTTTTTTGTATGAGGCAGACAGACCGGCCCAAATATGGGCATCGGCCCTTCGGGCATTGCCCGGTACGCCCGATGGCCAGTCCAGCCCTGAATGAGACCGCTCACTCTCTTACTAAAGATTGACAGAATCAATGAAAAAACTACTCTGAGCATGTGTATGAAGGCCAAATAGCACTGTAATCATGTTTAAAGCAGAGAAAAGTCAAAAAGCGTAATATGGGCCCTCTAAACAGTTCTAAGAAGCGTACTGCTCTCTGAGGCGTCGTTGGCCACAGTCAGGTGGTCCCGGTGCTTCCCCTCCTCGGAGGCAGGGGGCGGGGCATGTGAGCCAGGCTGTGAGTTGATTGGCTGCTCCTCCATGATGCAGAGTGAGTGAGCGGGTTTAAAGTCCAGCTAGAAAACCAGGAGATGAACACCAGAAATCTGTGGAGAACAAAACGGAGACTGTGAAAAGAGAGAGAGGTCTCTTTCTGGTTTCTCTCCGTTCTCTCCCTGGTCTTTCTCTGATCTCTCTCTGGGCTCTCCCTGGTCTTTCTCTATTTTACCCTGTACCTTTACTCTGTACCGAGCAAAGGTACAGGGTAGGTCTCTCTGGTCTCTGTCTTTGGTCTCTCTCTGGTCTCTCCCTCTGGTTTATCTCTGATCTGTATCTCTGGTCTGTCTCTCTGGTCTCTCTGGTCTCTCTCTGGTCCCTCTCTGGTCTCTCTCTGGTCCTTCTCTGGTCTCGTTCAGGTCCTAGTCTAAATCCTGACTCCAGTGCAGCTCATGTTACACTCCCACTGCAGCTTTTATGCTTACGTTTGATTTTATGGAAAAAGAAACCAAAAAGACACAGAATACACACACACACACACATACACACAGGTACACGCATACACACACACACACACATACACACAGATACACACAGGTACCCACACACACACACGCACACAGTCACAGACCCCAGCTTTAAGTTTTATCATTGAACTTATATTTGAGTATTGTGTCAGAGCAAGACTAAACCAGGTCTGAACCAGGTCTGAACCAGGACTGAACCAGGACTGAACCAGGACTGAACCAGGACTGAACCAGGTCTGAACCAGGTCTGAACCAGGTCTGCACCAGGTCTGCACCAGGTCTGAACCAGATCTGAAACAGGTCTGAATCACTGGATCTTCTAAAACCTCCAGATGTTTTCACCACTGGACACACAAAAATCCCCTTCAGACGAGACTTCGTCCATCCCCAGTGGGACACGCCCATCAGCCGCATGCAGCATCTCTGATCAGTCTTACCTAATGCTGAGGCTGCGCTCCCATGTCCACTCTGCTCTGGTCCGCTCCTGTCCCGTAGGGTTTGGTTATGGTCCGGTCTGGTTCTGGTCTGGTTATGGTCTGGTTCTGGTCCGGTCTGGTTCTGGTCCGGTCTGGTTCTGGTCTAGTCTGGTTCTGATCCTGTCACTGCAACAATTCTGGAATGTTCCTCGCTGGAATTAAAAGAAAGCAGATGAATGAAGTGGAGCTGAGAGTGAGAGGCAGAGGGGAGGGAGGGGGGAGGGGGGGAGAGGGAGGAGGGGAGAGAGAGAGAGGAGAGGAGGAAGAGGGGAGGGAGAGAGAAGGGGGAGGGGAGGGAAGGAGAGAAGGAGGAGAGGAGAGAGAGAGGGAGGAGGGTAAGGAAGGGGAGAGAGAGAAGAGGGGGGAGGGGAGGAAAAGAGAGAAGAGGGGGAGGGGAGGGCGAGAGAGGAGAGGGAGGAGGGGAGGGAGGCTGCAGTGGGATGCTGCAGAGAGAGGGGGATGCTGCAGCAAGGAGGCGTTTGAGGAGAGGAGGGGGAGGATGGAGGGTGTTGCTTCCTGTTGTGCAGAACCAGAGAGAGACCTGAGCAAGAATACTCTGTACCTATACCCTGTACTTTTACCCTGTACTTTTACCTTGTACATTTATCAGAGAGAAAACAAAGAGAAAGAGACAAGACAGAGATCAAAGAGAGACCAGAGAAGACCCAGATTGACCAGAGAGAGAGACCAAGACACCAGAGAGAGACCAGAGAGAGAGACCATAGAGAGAGATCAGAGAGAGACAAGTGAGACAACCCTATACTCTGTACCTTTACTCTGTACCTTTACCCTGTGTTAGTATTAGATAGCAATATGGCCTACGTGCAGGACTGTACAAGGACTCTGATTATTTTGACTATGATGTGACTGTCTCTGTGTGACACGTACATCTTTCGATGTGTGACGTGACAATGACTATATAAACTGTGTACTGCCTTTATTCTGTCTGAGAGAAAGAAACAATTTGAAACCACTGGAACTTGAGAGAAACTTAAATAAACTTCCAGAGTTTGGTGCACCACGATCCGTCTCTGTCTGCTTCATCCCTGACAGATTTGGTGAAGGATGCGCGGCTCAGTGTGCGCAATTCTCTGGATTGTTTTGAGGGAGTTTCCTTTGCTTCTTTTCCTCGGCGTGAGAGATCGGCATGCTGTGTCTGGGAACGGAGATTCCAGCAGGCTGGAAGAGCTGATCCTGGATGCTTCTTGTCGCTTCTGTCACTTTTGTTTTTTAAATTGAATATTCCGACGCGGAAAAGAGGTTGGCAGACCTCTCGGACAGTCCTTGGTACCTGTTTGACAAGAATAAGGACCAAGGGCACACACTGTACAGGGTCACTGGACTGCGGGAGTGGACACTGAGAGCTCAGACCACAGGAGCCCAGCAACGCCCACCCAGGCACAGGTCACAGATCAAAGAGCAAAGGAAAATGCCACCTCCTTGCCCCTCCCCACGCCACTCCAGAGCTGAGTGGGTGTGAGAGAGACCGGGGTAGAGAGAGGTGTCTGGAGACGTGATGGTGGAGCATCAGGGAGAGAGACCTGGATGCAAGTTGAGAGTGTGTCCAGTTGGTTTACATCACCACAGTGTGACCTTTGAGACCTACAGGTGGTTCGAGGAGTCTGGAGACACAACCCCAAAATTCACACCCTACACACACACACACACATACACACACGCATACAATCATACACTCACACATTCACATTTAAATATAGATACATGAAAAAGAAGAACATGAGAAAAAAGCATTTTAAAAGTTTACTCCAGTGTCCATCCATCCATCCATTTTCTTCCCTTTAATCCATTTCTGGGTCAGGGGGGTGGCAGTCAGAGATGCCACCCAAGTCTCATAGCACCAGCCCCTCACTGACCCTCTGCAGGTGGTGAGTCCACAGGAGGACGGCTGCTCTCTGACTGTGAGCATAGCCTTGATCTTTCAGTGGGGGCTTTGGGCAAAGTGGGGTTAAGTGTCTTGCCCAAGGACACAACGACAGCAGTCATCAGTGGGAGTCGGTGACTCCCACTGATCACTGATTACTCCAGTGTAAACAAATATTTTTAATTGTCTATCACTTGAATCTTTATTTGAATCAGTATTTTTTGAGACCAGAAATGTTCATTTGAATTCTATATTGTCATGGACATAATTGGCCTGTCTTGACATTTTTTGTTTTGATTTGTTGATTTTGTACTGTGTGAAGTAATTACATTGATTAGGATTAGAGCTAAAAAGCCACTTCTTTGAATGAGAATAATATTGCCTATCCATAGACTAACCATAGAGAGTAACTACTGCATAACAAGTCTGTACAGGAACTGTGACACTGCACCATTGACCAGAAGTGCATCGCAAAGGACCTGATGTGCTTCAAGTGACCTGAGTGTATCTGGAGATCCGATGTGCATCTGGAGAGACCAAAACCATGGCTTGGACCCTACTGATGTCCAAGATGACATCTCTCGAAATATGACCTGACCTGATGGACCAGACTGAGACTCATCCTCAGGGGACCCTGAGGACCTGAGGACCTGAGGACCCTGAGAGAGAAAAACTGGGGAGTGACGTTTATATTATTAAAATCATACATTGATGAGTGCTAAATGAGAGAGATACTCATGATTCTTTCTTTTGTTTTTGTTTGTCCCTAGCTTCTGGACATCTGATGATCTATTGGACACAGACATTTGCAGAACAAGAACCAGCCAATGAAAAATCGTCTATTGCCGATGCTATTGCTACAACCAGAACCACAACTGTGACAAATGCAATACATGGAAAGTATTCAGACATCTGACAGACAAAAACTTTGACTTTTTAGTCTGGGAGACTGAGCAACTGTTAAAATGTTTTAAAATGATAAAGTATGGGTATTGTAGCGTTTTAGTAGATGTTAAATAGTAGTAAAAAAGTAGAATTTGACTTCCTTTGTCTTTCATAAACACATTTCAACGTAAGAGTTAAAATAGTACCATACAATGTTATCCTTTTGATAGATCAGCTAAAATATTAGAATCAGAATAATGTTACAGCCATTGAAAGTGACAGAAGTCACAAACTAGAAATATGCCTTGGCTCAAGCTGCAACCAAGCTTTGGAGTCACAATAGTGTAGAAATAGAATTAGATAAATGCATCAACCATAGATTCTTTCAAAAATAGAGAATGTTTCCAGCCAGTGCTAATATCAAACGGTAGAGGGACCATTTCACAAACCTTTGCTTCAAAAGTAGTTAAAGTTAATTACAGTTTTATGTACAGTTTTATTAGATACCTTCCAAATTCACTTGTGTTCAAACATGAGTGAATATTGGAAATACAAAAAGTTAATGAGTGTAGTCTAGATTAATGCCTAGGTTAATGAGATAGATTAGAACCAACAGAGATTCAAAAGCATCTTTGAGAAGTTTAAAAAGCTGTTGATTTGCCAGCGCAGATTAGAGAATCAAACACCATTGGAGACCCCAACCCCAAACCTGCTAAAATAGATTAGCTCTTGTAAGGATAATAACAATTTGATCATTGATGTACATTCATCCAAACTGCCTGAGAGGAGGAAGTGACAGCACTTCCTGGTTCAACAAATGTATTTGGAAAACTGACCGCCATAATAATGTTCATATTAACCATTTGTCTTTCTGTGTTCAGTTTTATTCCTGAGAATGTAGAATAGACATGGAGCAAAATCCCACTAACAATATGCCACTCATAATGAAAGTAAACCACAGAGAGATTTATTAGATTAAAATGTATGTTTAAGAATATGGCTCAATAGAAGTAAATATGCAAACATATTTGTAAATAGATTAGAATAGTTTTAAACTATAGTGAATAGTAAAAGTAAAGTACACAGTCTAAGATTGAAAAGTGATAATAATACAATGAATTAAGTGAAGTGTAAACAATTAGCATTAGAATAAAAGTAGAGTAAGAAAAGTGAAATTAGCTTCAATTTGAGACTCGTCTGTGTTTTGACTGAATCTTCTGAGTTCTTGTGTGTCCAATAGTGTTTGTTTGTTTTTATTTTTGATTTGTTTTTATTTTTGTTTGTTTTTGTTTATTTATTTATTTACTTTTTGTTTGTTTTTTTCCCAGGATAGAGGATAAAATCCACTGATATTGATTTGATGATTATGAGTTTAATGCATACATTTTCTTTGTTTTTTTTTTTGGTTTTTTTCCCCACTTTATTGATGGATCAAATTGAGTGATCACATGTGATTATGTGATCAAAGGGGTGAGTGTTAGTATTAGACTCTACAAGGACTCTGATTATTTTGACTATGATGTGACTGTCTTTGTGTGACACGTATGTCTTTCCATGTGTGACGTGACAATGACTATATAAACTGTGTACTGACTCCATTCTGTCTGAGAGAAAGAAACAATTGAAAGCACTGGAACTTGAGAGAAACGTAAATAAACTTCCAGAGTTTGGCGCACCACGATCCGTCTCTGTCTGCCTCATCCCTAACACCTGTACCTCATGGTCTCCCTCTGGTCTCTCTCTCTCAGGTCTCTTAGTCTGTCTCACTGGTCTATCTCTGGTCTCTCTCAGTAGTGAGTGGAGAGTGTCTGAAGGTAAAGGAGACAGTAGTGCCCGTGGTGATGGTGCACTTGGGCAGTGACCCCAAAGCTGGAGGAGTGGTTACAGCAGATCCCTGGAACAACCTCGGAAATCTTGGTCCAAAAATGTGCAGAGCAGGAAGAACATGTCACGTTTGTGTCACGTGACATCACGTCTGAGCCTCCGCTGAAAGATCCAGGCTGCTCAGACTAGAACAGCCGTCCTCCCGTGGACAGGACCTGCAGGAAGATCAGTGAGGGGCTGGTGCTCTGTGGTTTGGGTGCAGCTCTGACTGTCACCCACCGCAACCCAGAAATGGATTAAGGGGAAGAAAATGGATGGATGGACATCGCGTCTGTGTCACACACAACTTAAAGTTGTCACCAAGAGTTTTTGTCTAAAGGCCCACTTTATTTATCTTTGGGAGTTTGTCCTCTTGTGAGATTTCATAACACTTTTAAGAAACTTTTGTTAAAGTTAAACTCATGATTCTACCAATGTGCAGAAGCCAGTACTTTTCCACTACTTGTTTTGACTATCTCTGCTGGCACTGTGGCAGCTGCTGATTGGAGGTCTCCATGCCTCCGCTCTGTATAATACACTTGCATTCTGTTGTTCGTGCTGTCTCTACCATCGACAATAAAACATGTCTTCTGTCTGAATGAAAGACGCGATCCCAGACTTTGTCATCTTCTTCAGGTGGTGGAGAATGTGGGCTTTGTCTGTAACATCTACAGAACAGAAGACTTTTTTTTTTACACAAAAATGTGTTGTTGTTTTTTAAGCCAAAACTGAGAAACCTCAAGAGAAACCATGCATCTGGATCAGCACACTTGGACAATCTGCACAGCCCCTGATTCCAGTCAGGCTGTGAGCTGCTGAGACATGGACAATACCATCGTCCTCTTTTGCATGGACATGATTTGGAACAATTGGATTTCTGAATTTGGACATAATTTGGACTGAATTGGATTTCTGAATCTGGAGACTAAAGCTGAAACGTGTGATTGAAAGACACGTCACAGAAGAATTCATGGCTCGGCACAAATGCAGCCTGAAGAAACCAACACGGAGAAGTGGGAGAGACTGTTTTCAAAGCAATATCTGAGAACCATCAACTGATGAAGTTTGGTATTTTACTGAAGATTCTTGACGAGTTTTATGAAAGATCTGAACATGTTTTATGGGTTTTCTGAGTTTTTGAAGTATTCTGAGTTCTGAGTTTTTGAAGTACCGAGTGAAGTACAGAGTTTATGAGTTTTTGAAGTATTGAGATATGATGTTATGTTGCTGTTTATCCATCCAGAGGGGGAAATGTGAGATTTCATAACACTTTTAAGAAACTTTTGTTAAAGTTAAACTCATGATTCTATCAATGTGCAGAAGCCAGTACTTTTCCACTACTTGTTTTGACTATCTCTGCTGGCACTGTGGCAGCTGCTGATTGGAGGTCTCCATGCCTCCGCTCTGTATAATACACTTGCATTCTGTTGTTCGTGCTGTCTCTACCATCGACAATAAAACATGTCTTCTGTATGAATGAAAGACGCGATCCCAGACTTTGTCATCTTCTTCACTCTGCATTTAACTCTGATGCCACTGGTGCTCCTTAGGACCAGAGGATTGTGTTTTTAGTAGTGCGGGAAACCGGAGCATCCGGAGGAAACCTATGCAGACAAAGGGAGAACATACGAACTCCACTCAGAAAGACCCTGTTCTGACCTTCTGATGAGAAGTGAGAGTGCTATCCACTCAGCCACCATACCGCCGTACATTTTAATGCAATGGAATTAAAATAAAATAAAAAGATTTCATACAATATTTGTGTGTGTTTGTCTACAGCAGGAGGAGGTGCATCATTGTGGAGAGGAGGTTCCAGTGAGGAGGCCATAGGTCCTTATCTTCATCATTGTGGAGAGGAGGTCAGAGTGAGCAGGCCCCTGAAGGCGGTGGTGCAGTCTGCAGTAATCTGCACAGTGCCATCTTCTGGCCGCGTATGGTACGACTTTCAAAGCGAAATAAACAAACCACTTTGCAGTAAAAAATAAATGACTGAAAATAAATAATCAACGAAATTTACGGACTACAATAACATGTTATATATTTAAGGGTTAAAACAAAAAAACAAAAAAACAAAAACTCACCGTACGTCACTGCAGACTGGCGCCCTGCTCAGTCGCGTGTTTCCTCCGTCAAACCTGGCGTCCTCTGTGATGATGAGCGGGCTGCACCTCCTCAGCTCGTACCTAGCGGAGGTGGTGAAGGAGGTGCTCCGCGTGGTGCAGGAGGCGGTGGAGGAGTACCGTGAGGAGGCCTCACGCACCCGGACAGAGAACCAGAGACTCCAGGCTCAGCTGCGGGCGCTGCTCCTGCTCAAGCCCGGCCCTCATGGGCCCAGCACCGGCTACGATCTGCACGGTGAGAGGATCCTGACCATAGAGCCTCTCTCTGGTCTCTCTAGTCTCTCTCTGGTCTCTCTCTGGTCTCTCTCTGGTCTCTCTCTGGTCTCTCTGGTCTCTCTCTCTCTCTGGTCTCTCTCTGGTCTCTCTGGTCTCTCTCTCTCTCTGGTCTCTCTCTGGTCTCTCTGGTCTCTCTCTCTCTCTGGTCTCTCTCTGGTCTCTCTCTCTCACTCTCACTCTCTCGGGACCATGGAACCTGAACCAGGGCTGGACTGGGACAAAAAAACGGCCCGGGCATTTTTTCCTTCTTAGCGGCCCAGGCAACTCAAAAGGTTCAAGGAGCCATATTTGACAAAAAAACTAAAAACAACATCTGTCTGGAGCCGCAAAAAAAACAGCGTTGTATAAGGCTTATATGAAGGTAACAGGGGCTGAAGCTGTATTAGCTATATTAGCCTAATATCTAAATGACAAAGTAAAGGCTACAAACACATAAAAACCATTCATGATTATCAATGTGTATTTTCACTGCAGCGTGTCCTGGAGAGAATGACGCACCACGTGACGACTCTGCTTTAACTTTAACCTTCATGCAATTGTACAAATACAGTAAATAAATCTGCTTTTTGGCTCCGAGTTCACCTGCATCACTGTCTGTTCATATCCATCACATCACAGGCTGAAGTTTGCTGGAGCTGAATGTCCTTAATGGCCTTTTCTTTCACCGTCTTTGCGAAGGTATTTGAAGTCTGAAAATAGGTGCTCTGACTTTATGATGAATGAATCTTTCAGTGAACGGTGTTTAAAGCTTCATTGTTCCTCCTGTTGCAACAAAACTTTTCATTACATCTCAAACATGAAGCAGTCCTTCCTCATTGACTGAAAGCAAATGTTCATTCTCATTCTTACTCCAGTCTTATCATCGACTCTTCCTTTCTTTATCTTTGGGATCCGTGCTCACACGCCGGTTTGTTTACAGCAGCGGCCGCCTAGCGCGGGCCGCGTCACAGGATATGACGCACTACGTTGACAGAAATGCTAAAATTGAATATTACTTATACAAGTTTTTGCAGCATTGAAAAACTTTAAGAATGTTGTTCCACCTACAGAAACCACATTCAAACTAGAAATAAAATATAGCCCTCCCACTCCATTTTCAGACATTTTTTAAAAGGCTCCAGGAGCCACTTTAGGTGCACTAAAGGTTGCCGACCCCTGGTTTATACAGTATGTAGAAGCAAATACTGTAGAGAGGATCAGGATGTGTGCAGTTTCAACAATAAAATAAAGTACAATAGTCTACATTAAACAGAGTAATAAACATGTCCCAGAGTGAGGGAGGTGGGCACAGACAATACTATTGTTTGTTACAGGGATGAGAATTGGTCAAAAACGTCTGAAATGCATATTGTCAGCCATTAGCTGGCTCTAAATCTGTTTAATCTGTTCACAACATTTTACTTTTGGGCTCAAACATGAACTTTTAATGCGATGGGAAATTTAGGTACCCGAGCTTTAATTTAGAGGAGAGGGGAGACGCGGACTGTTTTCTGCAGCGGTGTATTTATTGGGTGCACAAATTACGAAAAGACATGCATGGTCCTGTGCACGTTTATGGTCTTGGGTACATGGTCACGTTGCGGCTACGCGCTCACCGTGTTGTGTTGTGAGCGGTTCCTGCGTCCAGCTCAGAGCCGCTGGATGCGGGAACACTGCGGCCGCTGAGGTGGTGGAATCCCGTTCGAGTACATACAGCAGGTGCCCCGCGGACACGCGCGCCCCCTCGAACATTTCTCAACGCATTTACACTTTTCACAAACATGTTTTTTGTATGAGGCAGACAGACCGGCCCAAATATGGGCATCGGCCCTTCGGGCATTGCCCGGTACGCCCGATGGCCAGTCCAGCCCTGGCCTGAACCATGGTCTCTCTCGTATCTCCCTCTGGTCTTTTTCAGGTCTGTCTCAGGTCTATATCTGGTGTCTCTCTGGTCTCTCTATGGAGCCTGGACCATGGAGCATCTGGGTCTGAATGTTATTTCAGTGTGTTTGTGTTTATACAGGTGCATTTGGAGAATGTGTGACTCCACCCCCTCGGACCTCTGTAACTCCACCCCCTCGGACATGTGTGACTCCACCCCCTCGGACATGTGTGACTCCACCCCCTCGGACATGTGTGACTCCACCCCCTCGGATACGTGTGACTCCACCCCCTCAGACACATGTGACCCCACCCCCTCGGACACATGTGACCCCACCCCCTCGAACACATGTGCCTCCGCCCACACAGACATATGTGACTCCACCCCCTCGGATACATGTGACTCCACCCACACAGACATATGTGACTCCACCTCCTCGGACACATGTGACTCCACCCACTCCTCTGGTAAGATAATGATTCTGTACTTTTGTTCCCAATGTTTTTTGTTTTCTCTGGTCTCTCGTTTCCCTGGTTTCACTCTGGTCTCTTGCTGGTCTCTCGCTGGTCACCTTGGTCTTTCCCTGTTCTCTCTGTCTCTTTGGTGTCCCTGTTCACTCACAGGTCTATGGTGTGACCCCTGGTCTCTCCCTGGTCCTTCTTTGGTCAGTCTCTCTCTGGTCTCTCTGGTCTCTCAGACTATGCTTTATGAGTCCTTCTTTTGAACAGGTGAGTGAGAGAGTCCCAGATCTGACCAGAGCATCAGGGGAAGGGCCCACAGCCTTCATCTGTCGTGGTGTGAAGGTGAAGGAGGAGCAGGAGGATCAAGAGGAGGACGAGGAGGAGACGCAGAGGAGCAGTGAAGGCCCAGACTCAGACCTGGGTCTAGACCTGGACCTGGACTTGGATTCTGGGACGTGTGTGAAAAAAGAGCCAGAGAACCCTGCTGTGACGTGGGACGTGGCCATAGCGCCCCCTCTGGAACAGGTCAGTACAGCTACAGTAAACTAGCTAACACCGGGAGCTAACACCGGGAGCTAACACCGGGAGCTAACACCGGGAGCTAACACCGGGAGCTAACACCGGGAGCTAACACCGGGAGCTAACACCGGGAGCTAACACCGGGAGCTAACACCGGGCGCTAACACCGGGCGCTAACACCGGGCGCTAACACCGGGCGCTAACACCGGGCGCTAACACCGGGCGCTAACACCGGGCGCTAACACCGGGCGCTAACACCGGGCGCTAACACCGGGCGCTAACACCGGGCGCTAACACCGGGCGCTAACACCGGGCGCTAACACCGGGCGCTAACACCGGGCGCTAACACCGGGCGCTAACACCGGGCGCTAACACCAAGTATCTATAATAACTGGATAGGGTATTACTAGCTTAGAGCTGTTCAACCCATGGGCACAGGGGGCGCCCGTGGTGCTGCAGACTAACTTCACGCGGGCTACCCAGAAAAAAGTCCCATAGAACTCAATGTAAATTAAGACAGCTCGACCTCAGCTGACAGAGAACCTGACAGAGAACCTACAGCTTTAATAAAGACCAGATTTTGTGGGGATTTTAGTGTCCCTTGTCATCCTGAACTCTTTTCCTTCTTAAAGCCTTCGGTTTTCTTTAAATGCACACTTAAAGCTGCACTAACTGACTTTGGGATTTTGAAGCCGCGGACTCGCTGGCCTCTCTCTTTCTGCTCCCCTCCCCGCACCCACGAAGGTATCGCCCCCCCACACACACCCACTGTTGGGACGGAGCTAGCGTCTCCCAATATGGATAAATACATGGATATGGATTTGCACGTGGATGGCGTGACCATAGAACGATAGAACCGGGAAGCGCGGAGGAACAGGACTTTCTTTTGGATGGCTGTCTCGCTGTGTAAGCAGTAACCGGTGACGAAGAGACGAAGTTTCAGGTTAGCTCCTCGGCTGGATGTGCTAGCTCAGCCGTCTATGCTAACGGACCTGTAGATTTCTCACGAAAGTGGGGGCCAGTGGTCCGCTGTGATTGGTCACAATCAGAGACCCGAAACACATTCTCTTCCTTGTTTCATCAAAACTCGATCTAAAATATAATGTCACACCGGCACAAATCTGCGCTACTTTTTCTTCAAAAGGACGAATATCCCAATGCCCTACATGGACATGGAGAGCATATTTGTAATTAATACAAAAATAAAGGCAGTTAGTTCAGCTTTAAGGACCACAAACTCTGCTCCTTTCCTTCCTGCTCTGACTCCGCTCTGCTGCTGCTCTGATCAGCAGCGCTGATTGGTCAAGCCCCTCTGTGCACGTGCATTAGAGCCACACACGCGTATTTGCGCAATGCATCATGGGAGCTCGTCCACTGTGCAGAACCGGGAGGACCAGATGATGCCCAAATAGCAAGTTCCGCCAATTTCTGTATGTCCCATGCGCTACTGAGCACAAGTCATTCATTTGAATAGGGCGCCATCTTGGATCACCGGGAAGCTTGCACCAGGGGCTTTTTGTCCTGTTTCTGGAACATTCTGAATGTTCTACTGAGATTGTTTTTTTCCTCACGGAGAGTGACTGGAAAAAACTGTGATCCAAGTACCTGAGCTTCAGAGCCTCGCACATCAGGACCAAAACTGTCAAAATAATAAATGTTCTGTTGTTGTTATTTCCCAACGCATCATTATTATAATATGATACTTACACCAATCAAATACAAATGTTAACCTTTTAATTAACACGGAAATAAATAAATGCAGACAGAAAATGATAAAGCTTTATTATTTAGCTTTGATAATAAAGCTTTATTATTTAGTTTTGAACCAGAAAACGTTTCTCTGATGTAGATTTGGAAACTGAAGCAGGAGCCTGTGGATCCCAGTTCATCTTCAGTTTATCCTTGACTCTCATTGATCTGCTCAAACTCAATGTAATGAATCTGATAAGAAATGGGCTGAATCGAGAATTTAAAAATCCTTTAGAGCCTCCTTATCCAATCTACTCTCTTTCCTTTCTCTTACCTCTCTCCTCCTCCTTCTCCCTCTTGTCCTTTCTCCTCTTTTTATCCTCCCTCCTCCCTTTCTCTCGCCTCTTTTTAACCTCTATCCTCACCCTCTTTTCTCCTACCTCTCCTCTTCTCTCCCCTCTCTTACCCATCTCCAATCTCTCCTCAGTGCCCTCACTGCAGAGCCTCATTCCCCTGCATCTCCTTCTTCTCTCTCTCTCCTCCTTTCTCTAACCTTTCTCCTCTATCCTGTCTCTCCTCCTTCTCTCTCCTCCCTCTCCCCTCTCTACTCTCCTCACCTCTACAACCTCTACCTTTCTTCTCCTCCCTCTCTCCTCTCTCTTCAGTGTCATCACTGCAGAGCCTCCTTCCTCTCCCTCTCTTTCATCTCCTCCTTCTCCTCTCCTCCCTCTTAAACCTTTCCTCCCTCTCTCACCTCTCCTCCCTCTCTAACCTCTCATCCCTCTCTCACCTCTCTCCTCCCTCCTCTCACCTTCCTCTATCACCTCTCTCCTCCCTCTCTAACCTCTCATCCCTCTCTCACCTCTCTCCTCTCTCCTTCTTCTTCTATCACCTCTCTCCTCCCTCTCTAACCTCAGTCCTCTCTCTCCACAGTGTCCTCACTGCAGAGCCTCCTTCCCCTCCCTCTCGTCGCTGATGCGGCACCTGCAGCAGAAGAAGGCTCACAGCTGCAGCGCCTGCTGTAAATCCTTTTCTCAGTCTGCAGACCTGCGGCGCCACCTGCGCACACACACAGGAGAGAGACCGCACACATGCAGCATCTGCAGCCGCAGCTTCAGCCAGAGAGGCAACCTGCGCCGCCACCTGCGCATCCACACAGGAGAGAGACCCTACGGCTGCAGCGTCTGTGGGAGGAGGTTCTCTGACGGAGACACACTGAAGAAACATCTACGGACGCACAACTGACACACACACACGCACTGAGGTCTGAACCAGATCTCTAACTTCAGACACCACCACAGATTTCCAAATGACACTTGTTGAATATTTTTCAACTATTGTGAACTTTGTGTGGAGCCATGTCCCTCTGAGGCTTTTGTGGTCGTAATTGGTATTCAATCTCTGGTCTCTCTCTGGTCTCTCTCTGGTCTCCCTCTCTGGCCTTTCTGTGGTCTCTGGTTTATTTATTAGTATTTATTCCTGATCGTCCTGTCTTTTTCTGTCTCACATGTTTTTCTATAGATCTTTATAATAAAAGACACTAACTGTTTTGGACCAATATTTCTTTAAACTCACCTACTCCTGTGCTTCACAAGGAGGAGGAGCAGCAGCAGGTGTATTTAAAGTATGTGTGCACCAGCAGAGGGCTGGATCTGCCTGGATCCTGGATCTACAGCTAAAGGACTCTCCTGGTCCTGGATCTACAGGCTCAGTCCTGGGTCTACAGCCTCAGTCCTGGGTCTACAGCCTCTGTCCTGGGTCTACAGCCTCTGTCCTGGGTCTACAGCCTCTGTCCTGGGTCTACAGCCTCTGTCCTGGGTCTACAGCCTCTGTCCTGGGTCTACAGCCTCTGTCCTGGGTCTACAGCCTCAGTCCTGGCACTTAAAGCATTCCCAGTTCCTGTCACTATCCAACTCAACCCAGGACCTTGTTAGGGTGAGGCGCTGCACACTGTTGAGACACATGCTAACAGACTTTATAAAGATGGACAACGCTAACCTGCTAGCTCTGGTGTAAGATTTAAGAGCTAAACTCATGAGCATGTCTGAGGGGGGCGGAGCTAAACACAGCTGCATGTTTGAAGGGGGTGGAGCTGAACACCGCAGCATGTCTGAGGGGCGGGGCTAAACACAGAAAAGAGAAACGCATTTTCCAACAGATTTCCACTTTATTTAAAACCGTGAAACAAATTCAAAAATAAAAAAACTGAACAAAACATTTTTATTGTTATCACTATCAGAACGCCTCATGCAACAGCAGCGCGTCACACCTCAATTACACATGCTTTAGCTATATATATTTAGTGATATCAATAAATCGGATCCAGATTTCACTCCTGCATTGTCAATGGGGTTAAAGCACCATAGTCTGCCCCTGGTCTCTCGAAGATGTCTCGCCCTGGTCTTTCAAAGATGTCTGCCCCTGCTCTTTCCAAGATTTCTCCCCTGGTCTCCCAAGATGTCTCTCTCTGGTCTCTCCAAAATGTTTGCCCCTGGTCTCTCCAAGATGTCTGCCTGTGGTCTCGAAGAAGTACCAGAGACAGGGGCCAGGTCCTGCTCCTTGTCCTGGTTGATGGTCCTGGTTCAATCCTGGTCCTAGTTGATGGTTCAGTCTTGTTCCTGGTTGATTGTCCTTGGCAGCTGGTTGGTCAGTATGTGCCATTTCTCCACTCTTCTTCCTATGTTCTTGAGACACTCGCTCCAGTGCCTGAGAGCGTCGCCCTGAGCCTGAGCTCCCAGACACACGCCCCCTGTGGAAACAAAAGGAACTGCAGTCAGGACGATTAAAGCTGGGGTCTATAACTTTAAAGCTGGAGTCTGTAACTCTCAGAGTAGCGGCGCCAGGTTTGCAATTATGGGTAGGCCTGCAGATTAGTAAGTAGGCCTAATTCGCTCGCAAACTACAAGGGGTAGTTGGAATTGGGGTTTCAAAGAATATGGTTCAAACGCACGCACGCATGCACACGCATTCAAACACACACATACACACACATACACACACAGGCCTGGAGTTTACCTCATTAGTGCGAGGCTAGCCTGGCCTGACTGCGTTTTCCTCTTCTGTGACCTACGGGGCCGGGGCTCTGGCTCCTCTACCTGACGAAGTTCACCCTGAACTTTCTTAAAATTAAAAAGGCTACCCTGCTGTGAATGTTTTGAGAGCAGTGTCAACCTTTAAGACGAGGAATAGCCATGGATCTAGGGAATAGCTGGTTTTGCGCTGTTTGTCATAGATATGATCATGCAGCTTATTGGACAAAATTGTTCATCCAATAAACTAAACTATATGAAGCAACGCAGGAACGTGATGATGCTCAGGGGGTTACATTTTCTAACATTAGAACGCAACATTTAGGTGATTTGTGTATAATAACAGTATTTAAATGATGACTTATAAATAAAAAAGGCTTATGACTTGAGAGGCAAAGAACAAATTTGAGTAGGCCAAGAAAAAAAACTGGTAGGCACCGGCCTACCCAGGCCTATCCCTGGCGCCGCGGCTGTCTCAGACCAATAGAACTCTAGTTCTCTAGATCAGGCTCTAAAACAGTTGCTTCTGTCACTAGTTTCACATCATGTATTTGTGATGTCACATGTTTAGATCAATGACCACCCTCACTCAGCCAATCAGCTCTCAGCCCAAAGAGGCAGATACTGACTCACAGGGATTTGTCATAAACGTCTTGTTCAGGTCTACTTTGATCACATGAGATGCTCCTACTGCTTTTTCACTTTTTTGAATGAAAAAACGTCTGCTGCTCGCTGACTTGCTGTGTGGTTTAAGCGGTTTCTGCAGGGACAGTTCTCACCAATGAAGTCGTTGGAGCGTCCAAGGTCGTAGTCCCAGACAGTCACCTCCAGCGTCTTAGAGCTCAGCTCGGACATAGAGATGTCATAGAAGAACTCCTGAGATCGGAGACCGGGTTTAGTCCTACTTTAGTCCTGCTTTAGTAGTAGTAGTAGTAAGTAAGTAAGTAGTAGTCCCATATTAGTTCTGCTTTGGACTAGCTTGAGTCCTGGTCCAGTCCTTGTTCAGACCTGGTTGTACTCTGGGTTGAGTGTCCTCTTGATGACTTGAGTCTTGTGTTTGGATTTCTTGTTCAGGTCGGGCCTTAGGTATCTGCAACTTACAATCACAGCTTTAATATGGGGTTTTTTCATTTAAATATACATATATGAGAGGGAAGGGAGAGAGAGAGGAGGGGCATCTGTTTATTGAGGATGTTGCAGGTTCTCTTTATTACTAGTAGTAGTAGTAATAAAGAGGTTATTAGTTACAGTGCCTTGCGAAAGTATTGAACCTTTCAACATTTTGCCACATTTCAGGCTTCAAACATAAAGATATAAAAGTGGAACGAAATTTATTGGATAATTTAAACTTTTTTAACAAATAAAAAACTGAAAAGTGGGGCGTGCAATATTATTCGGCCCCTTTACTTTCAGTGCAGCAAACTCACTCCAGAAGTTCAGTGAGGATCTTTGAATGATCCAATGTTGTCCTAAATGACTGATGATGATAAATAGAATGCACCTGTGTGTAATCAAGTCTCCGTATAAATGCACCTGCTCTTTGATAGTCTCAGGGTTCTGTTTAAAGTGCAGAGAGAACCATGAAGACAAAGGAACACACCAGGCAGGTCCGAGATACTGTTGTGGAGAAGTTTAAAGCCGGATTTGGATACAAAAAGATTTCCCAAGCTTTAAACATCTCAAGGAGCACTGTGCAAGCAATTATATTGAAATGGAAGGAGCATCAGACCACTGCAAATCTACCAAGACCCGGCCGTCCCTCCAAACTTTCATCTCAAACAAGGAGAAGACTGATCAGAGATGCAGCCAAGAGGCCCATGATCACTCTGGATGAACTGCAGATAACTACAGCTGAGGTGGGAGAGTCTGTCCATAGGACAACAATCAGTCGTGCACTGCACAAATCTGGCCTTTATGGAAGAGTGGCAAGAAGAAAGCCATTTCTCAAAGATATCCATAAAAAGTCTCGTTGGGAGACACACCAAACATGTGGAAGAAGGTGCTCTGGTCAGATGAAACCAAAATCGAACTTTTTGGCCACAATCCAAAACGATATGTTTGGCGTAAAAACAACACAGCTCATCACCCTGAACACACCATCCCCACTGTCAAACATGGTGGTGGCAGCATCATGCTTTGGGCCTGCTTTTCTTCAGCAGGGACAGGGAAGATGGCTAAAATTGATGGGAAGATGGATGGAGCCAAATACAGGACCATTCTGGAAGAAAACCTGTTGGAGTCTGCAAAAGACCTGAGACTGGGACGGAGATTTATCTTCCAACAGGACAATGATCCAAAACATAAAGCCAAATCTACAATGGAATGGTTCTCAAATAGACGTATCCAGGTGTTAGAATGGCCAAGTCAAAGTCCAGACCTGAATCCAATCGAGAATCTGTGGAAAGAGCTGAAGACTGCTGTTCACAAACGCTCTCCATCCAACCTCACTGAGCTCGAGCTGTTTTACAAGGAAGAATGGGCAAGAATTCCAGTCTCTTGATGTGCAAAACTGATAGAGACATACCCCAAGCAACTTGCAGCTGTAATTGCAGCAAAAGGTGGCGCTACAAAGTATTAGCGCAAGGGGGCCGAATAATATTGCACGCCCCACTTTTCAGTTTTTTATTTGTTAAAAAAGTTTAAATTATCCAATACATTTCGTTCCACTTCACGATTGTGTCCCACTTGTTGTTGATTCTTGACCAAAAAAAATTTTTTTATATCTTTATGTTTGAAGCCTGAAATGTGGCGAAATGTTGAAAGGTTCAATACTTTCGCAAGGCACTGTATTAGTAGTAGCAGCAGTAGCAGCAGCAGCAGTAGTAGTGTTAGCTCACATTTTAACGTAGGGGTCGGAGAAGCCGTTGACGTCCATAGCGGCGAGGTGAGCGCAGCGCCGAACCCCCACACAGAGGCCTGTCCTGGAGGAGAGGGTGGAGTCAGAGGAGGCGGGTTCTAATGGGGCGGAGTCAGAGGGTGGCGGCTCACAGACCACCTGGAGCGACAGTAGCAGACGACCTCGCTCCTCCTGACTCTGCAGCTGCTCCTTCTCCCACTGAAACATACCACTGACGTTACAGTTATTTATGAAACTAAAGTTACAGACCCCAACTTTAAACATGTTATTCATGAGACTGAAGTTGCAGACCCTAGCTTTAAAGGTGGCATATTTCACTTTTCATTTTTCAGAGTCCATCCTAAACACTTGTGTGATAATAATTTGGGTGATGCACCATTCAAAAGCAAGAGTGGATCTCCGCTCCTCTGCCTGTGAGCCCGTCTCCCACCAGTTAAGTGACGTAGTCTCTTGCTAAGTTCGAGGTAAACAACCCACCGAAAGCTAATGCACAGTCATTTAATGCTGCTTTAAAGTAAAGTACAATTCTTGTATAGCCCTAGGTCACAACAGAAGTCATCTCAGAGGACTTAACAAAACCATTGAAATCACCAACACAGGTCAGAGAATCAACAGTTAAAACACATGAAGAATACAGTATAAAGCACACACAGAAGAAAATGTCCATACATGTTGTAGAATGCTAAAGTGTCCTGATCATCACCAATCCTTTCTGTTGGACACTAACTGTCCAACAAGACCCTCCTGCATCGACAAGGAAAAACTCTTAAAAAACCCAGTGGGAAGTGAGCGCTTTCAGACCACCAGCGCTGAAACGCTGAAGCCTTGCTCACCAGACGCACATTTTCTAGTTTTCAGACGCAGGGGTCTTCAGACCAGAAGTCCTGGCGCGTGGCGGAAGTAGCCGGCGGGCTAACAGAGTTTAGCTAGCGGCTTTTAAAGATCTTCTCCAATAATGCAGCTTTGCAGCGTGTCTGTGTCCAGAGACCTTCCACAGTTGTGTATAACAGTTGTATGTGTTACGGAGGTGCGCAATAAGTTTATTTAATTATTAAACGGTACTTCCGCATTGGCGAACACGCTCGAAGCAGTTGCATAAAGTCATGGGAGCATGAAAACTCATGTTAACAAGCACTATGTCCCCCATTGTCAACCCTGGTTTAGTCCTGATTTTGTCCTAATGTAGCTCCTGTTTTGGCTGTTTAAAAGTATTTTCAGTCTGCTTGCTCCGTCCGCTTATGTCCCTGTGACCACTTTGCGGCTCTCTGATTGGTCGCTGCACGAGACGCTTGTGCGTTTTGCCTCTCATTGACTTTGTATTCAAAGCCGACGCAACGCATGATCCGGTCTGAACGTGGCATAAGACCTGAGAATGAACTTTTTTCCAACAATGGCAGCCCTATGTCCTCGATCCAGAATCAGACCCTAATTATTTATTCCACAGACCGAGGCTCCTGTTAGTGTTTTTGAGTGGATCCTGTTTCAAAGTAACTGTAGTTCTGGAACAGTCTTTGGTTGTCTGTCACCGTCACTCACAGAAAAAACATCTACAAGTTCCGTTGCGGATTATAGACTTGAAAATTTCAGAGGCAGATCCCCGTCTCTTCCGTCTTCGGGCCAAATACTGCTGTCATACATTTACACCCAAAAAAAAAACATTTTCTCCATGTTGACATAATACTAACACAAAAAAGCACAGACGTGTATTTACTGTCTATGGACCACAGGCTGGACTTGGAAAGAGGCTGCATGCGTCACTTCCTTAATCAGACCTTCCTTATAGGATCAAACTTTTTAATAAGAATATCAATAATGTAACTTCTGTCTCCATGGTGTGAAAATAGCCTAAGATAATTTCTTTATCAACACCCTTCCCCCAACGACGAGAAGATAAGCAGGAACACACAGACCACAAGCTACTTTTGTGCTATGGAGTATCGGGACCTCCAGGACTGCACATGGCAGGCAACAAAGGGGGCCCCAGGGCTTCCAGGATCGGCTCAAACCTCTGCTCCCACAACTCTTCAATAGCCTCCAGCTTCAACATGGAGAAATTGCTGGAATGTGGCACCCAGATGTTGGACGTTAGATGACCTGATTCAGCCACATGAGAGCCTCAAGCTGAGGGCGTTACCACAGATCTGGAAGACCTCCTGTGTGGTACCGGTGCCCAAGAAACCACGGGCCAAAGACCTCAGCGACTTCAGGCCAGTGGCTCTAACATCCCACTGCATGAAAACACTGGAGAGACTGGTCCTGGGACATCTCCGCTCCACTCTGAGCCCAGCGATGGACCCGCTGCAGTTCGCCTACAGGCCGGGCATCGGAGTCGAGGACGCCATCATCTCCCTCTTCCATCGCTCCCTGTCCCACCTGGAGAAACCCGGCTCCACTGTGAGGATCCTCTTCTTTGATTTCTCCAGTGCCTTCAACACCATCCAGCCGAGGCTTCTCAGGGACAAGATGGAGACAGCCGGTGTGAACTACAACCTGTCCCAGTGGATCCTGGACTACCTCACAGACAGACCCCAGTTTGTGAGAACCAGGGACTTTGTGTTGGAGGTCCTGACCTGCAGTGTGGGGGCCCCCCAGGGAATTGTCCTCGCGCCGTTCCTCTTCACCCTCTACACTGCGGACTTCAGACACAACACGGACGGTTGTGTTCTACAGAAGTTCTCTGACGACTCTGCCATCATCGGACTCAGCTCCGAGGACGATGACACAGAGTACAGAGGAGTTATACAGGACTTTGTGGACTGGTGTCAGCGGAACCACCTCCTCATCAACGCGGGGAAGACCAAGGAGATGGTGGTGGATTTCCGCAGACGTCACTCTGCCGCTCCAGCTCCAGTGAACATCCAGGGAAAGGACATCGAGAGAGTGGACTCTTACAAGTACCTGGGTGTTCATCTTATCCACAAACTGGACTGGACTCATAACTCAGAAGCCCTCTTCAAGAAGGGCCAGAGTCGCCTCTACCTACTGAGGAGGCTGAGGTCTTTTGGAGTGCAGGGGCCACTCCTGAAGACCTTCTATGACTCTGTGGTGGCATCAGCCATCTTGTACGGTGTGGTCTGCTGGAACAGCAGTATCACAGAGAGGGACAGGAAGAAGCTGGACAAGGTCATCAGGAAGTCCAGCTCAGTCCTGGGCTGTTCCCTGGACACAGTGCAGCAGGTGGGGGACAGGAGGGTCCTGAGCAAACTAACATCTATGCTGGACCATGACTGTCACCCCCTGCAGGACACTCTCTCTGCTCTGGAGAGCAGCTTCCGTGACAGACTAATTCACCCTCGCTGTGTGAAGGAGAGGTTCTGTAGGTCTTTCCTTCCTGCTGCTGTCAGACTGTACAATAAGAACTGCTGAGCCTGTAAATGTCATTCATCTGTAATTAAGTAAATTCTTAAATCATATGCAATGTGCAATACTGCAACTTCAGAATGTCACAGAACAATGTGACTTTACCTCATGTCACTTTACTTCTGTACATATTATCCTGCACTATTTAACTGTACAGTATATAACTGCACTACTACATATATATATATTTTTGACTGGTATTGAAGCTTTTTCAGCATCTACAGCTAGTTATGTTAGTTAAGAAACATAGCTACTACTTATTTGTATATAGTGTATATATTGTGTGTGATCCCTGTGTGCTCTTACTACTGTCCTATATGTGCGATGCAACATCAAAATTTCCCCACTGTGGGACGAATAAAGGAATTCTTATCTTATCTTATCTTATGATGCAGCCGCATGGTCCAGGGTTAGTCTCCATCCATCACCATCACGACCCAACAAGGACTGCCATCGACCAATGCAACATTCTGGTTGTATGATCCGCTCTACTCCAAACAGTTGTTGGCTTATTAAAATATACAATTCAAGCTAAGAACACTTTGGAGATTTCAAGACATTTTGAAGCGATTTATGAAACTTGCGCAGAAAAGGGTGTATATTCCAAATACGTAAGAGCCAACGCCGGATTTATGAATGTGTGAGATCCGCACAGATCTGAGCGCACACACCTGCGGGTATTGATAAATTCCCTGGTGAAAACTAGCGTATTTATGAAAGTCACGCCTATAAGTTAATTCCCTTTTGTTTGTATTATAGCGTAAATATACGCTATAATATATACGCATTTTTTCCCTATTGTCTAGACCCACTGCAGCACTCATCTTTCTTCAACTTTTGAAGTAAATGAATAAATAATTAATTAATTAATTGATTAATGTTAATATCTCGGCCTCAGCGGTGGCTCTCATCATTAACCGGGTGAGGAATCTGAGCGATCTCTGTGAGAGAGAAAGATACGTATGACCACATTTGAGCAGTAATGCGGTGGGACCTCTCCTGGCACCAGCTGCGCACTGCCCCGCTTGGGCAGTGGCTACAGATAAGCGCGCTGCATCCTATCTCTGCTACAGGCTGAGACAGTTTTGATTGAGCAAGACCATTGTTCATGGGGCTTTATGCACAAAACTAAGGAAAAAACACATTGCTTTGCCAGAGGTGAATGAGGCAAAACATATGCGTAATTACGCAGCGCAGGGCCTGCTACTGAGTTAGTGAGTAAGTCATGTGTATTTGTATAGCGCCTTTCACAGTCCAGGATCAAAAAGCGCTTCACATTTAAAAAACATACAGATGAAAAAAATACACATACAAGTCAGATTTGAAAACGAAGAAACAGAAGAGGCTCCTCATCATGAACTGTGATGTATTTTAAGTTTGCATGTTTCCATTTTCTGATGCGCAAATTCACATTTCGAAACATGATGCTCATTGAAAGCGCAGCTTATAATTTTGCCAGAGTGGGAATATGTTTATTGTTGTCCAAATCTTGAATTTCGTGCCTGTTTTGGCGTGTTGTGATGTAGGTTGAGATGGGTGTAAAACTTACACCACCTCCTGACTTTCCGTATATTTTGTGCAAACCGTACACCCACCTCCAGATTGATAAATGCCGAAAAGTGTAAATGTTTTGCATACGCCTCATTTACACCCTGATTTGGCCGTACGCAAGTTTCATAAATGAGGGCCAATATGTGCCAAAACAACAAATCTTCTTTGACATCAAACGTGCCTCTGATCAATGTAGAAGCATGGATCTTACTGCTGTGAAAACTGTGGTTCCACCGGATCATGCTGCGGCGTGAGCCAATTAATAGATAGAATGACATCATAAGCACTTTATCAGTTGTGATTTATTCACCGGTTCCGAAATTAAGCTATTATAAATTGTTGTGTTTACTGCGTGATTATTTTCGAATAACTTACGTTATGTGTATATCGACTTTATTACCCCACATTAGCCGGCGCTGATTTGCTGGTTCAGTTTCTCCCAGCTGTTAATCACCTCTTGGAGGAGGGCTTTTGACATCACGGATTGGTGCATGTCAGTATTGAAACAAGCCGTTTCTGTGCCTCTTGAGAATGAAAGGTCGCTCTCTAACTAGATCTTGAGGGAATTAATGAAAAAACTACTCTGTTCATGTGTATTTAGGCCAAATAGCACTGTAATCATGTTTAAACCAGAGTAAAGTCTAAAAGCGTAATATGGCACCTTTAAACATCTGGTCTCTCTCTGTTGTCTCTGTGGTCTCTATCTCTCTGGCCTCTATGGTCCCTCTTTTAGGTCTCTCTTTGTTGTCCCTGTGGTCTCTTGTCTCTCTCTTTTGGGTCTCTCTCTCTCGGGTCTCTCTCTGTTCTCGCTCTGGACTCTCTCGCTCTCTGGTCTCTCTTTTGGGTCTCTCTCTCTGTTGTCTCTGTGGTCTCTCTGACTCCAGGAGCAGAATAATCTCAAAGAAACAGACCTCACGCATATAACAGGAGATCCCTCTGAGAGCCTCTCCACTGGCGGATGGAGACGGGAGCTGCGCACACACACACACACACACACAGCAGTTGAGAACCATGGAGAATCAATGATCGCTTAATTTACATCTCACGGTTTATGGAAAAATTATGAAAAAAAGTGGTTAATCCAGAGAATAGCAGCAGTAGCAGTACTCACAGGAGGAGGGTGTTCCAGAACGGTGTGGTAGTGTTTGTAGGTGTTTGGTTTCAGTCTCTTCAAAGCGACTCGAGATTCTCCGATAAACTCGTTATGAGAGAGTTTATCCTCGTCACAGACTGTCAGCCTGAGAAGGAGAGGTTATTTATGTAGCACTAGCTCCTGATCACACTAGCACCTGATGACATTAGCTCCTGATTCTAGCTCCTGAATAACACTAGTTCCGGCTGATAGCTCCTGATGACAGTAGCCCCTGAGGACACTAGCTCTTGATCATAGCTCCTGATGACACAAGCTCCTGATGATATTTCCTCCTGATGATATTTAATCCTGATGACATTTCCTCCTGATGACACTAGCTCATGATGATAGGTCTTGATGACACTAGCTCATGATGACATTAGCTCCTGATAACCTTAGCGTCTTGCGCAGCAGGTCTCCTGCTGTGATCCCGGTGTACGTGAGTCTCTCGTTCCAAACCGGGTTCAGACTGTTCCGAATAGTCCGCGTTTTCAGTTTATTTGCCTAAAAAACAGAAGTTAGAGCAGTAGAAGTAGTTGTAATAGTAGTAGCGGTAGTAATAATAGTAGTAATAGCAGTACCTTACATGCTCCTGGCAGCAGATGCAGTTTGACGTATGGATCTGACAGGCCGTTGAAGTCCATGGACTTCAGACCCTGAGGACCAGAGACTTGAGCTGTTACCATGGTGATCTCTAGACCCTGAGATGTGTGTATTTTAGATACCTTAGCTCGGAGAACAGTACAGTGCAGTTGACTGGAGCTCTGCTCGTACAAGAGCTCAAACTCCAGGGATCCAAGAGCAGCTACAAGAGAGAACATGATGAATACGACTACTCTTTCTGGTCTCTGTCTGGTCTCTCTCTGGTCTCTCCCGCTGGTCTCTTGTCAGAACAAATGCCCATAAAAGGAAACTAGCTCCAGCTTATGTTCAAATCTGCATATTCTGCATTAAGGCTAACACTGTGGTGATGTCACACTCTCCTTTGGACAAAATCAAAATGGTGTCTTACTGCTGTCGTCGCTGTCGGAGCTGTGCACCTCCACGCTGCTGTTCAGCGACCAACCACGAGGTGGCATCAACGAGGGGGCAGGGCTGAGGCAGAAGGGGGCAGGGCTTAGAGGCATAAGGGTGGAGCTGTAGGTAAAAGGGGAGTGGTCTAGACATGAATGGGCAGGGCTTAAAGGTATGTGGGAGGGGCTGTAGATGAAAGGGGAGGGGCTAAGACAGGAGGGGGAGGGGCTGATGTGATAATGAGAAGGGCTGAGGGGGGCGGGGCTGTGGGAAAAGGGGGTGGGACTGAGCACAAATGGGGAAGGGCTCAAGGGGGCGGGACCAGGTGAGGTTGGTGCATGGCCAGGTGAGATGGGGGAGGGGCCAGGTGAGGTGGGGGACAGCCGGGGGAAGTAGGCAGAGATTGTTCTGATTGGTCGAATGGGTCCTGGACACACGTCGATGGCCATGTGCTCCTGGATAGACACACTGAGTCTGGGGCCGCGGCGCACGGAGGACTCTGGGGAAGAGAAGGGTTAAACTGGTTTATTCAGGTTTAAAATGGTTTAACTGGTTTATTGGTTTTATACTGGTCTATATTGCTTTTTACTGGTTTAAACTGATTTATACTGATTTAAACCGGTTCTTACCTTTGTAAATGTCTTTCTTACGTCCTTCCTTCATCTTCACTTCCTTACTCTCCAGCTTCCTAGGTCCTCGTCTCCTTCCTTGATACTTTCACTCATTCTCTGCCAAACAAGAGTAAAATATCTATTTGTATAGCACACATATTACATTACTTAATACATGAGAAGGTAAACTATAGGTCCAAACCAGGTCCAAACTAGGTCAAAACTAAATCCAAATCAGGTCTAAACCAGGTCCAAATCAGGTCTAAACCAGGTCCAAACCAGGACTACCCATGTGAAGAAGCCGCAGACAAAAGAAAGATGGATCAAAGACACAAAAATCTCTGAAGCAAAAGATAGGAGCTTAGGGAAGAGGAGACAAGGAGGTAGGAGACAAGAAGGTAGGAAGAAAGGAGGTAGGAAGAAAGGAGGTAGGAGACAAGGAGGTGACACAGAAAGAGACAGAGGGAGAAGTGTCCTCACCTCGAGCTCAGATTCCTCCAGTGGAACAGGTGGAAGTGAGCGGGCGAACAAGCCTCTAGCCCCCTCTGACTCGCCCACTCTCTCTCTCTCTTACTGCAAAATAGACACACACACACGTACAGACAAATACACAGACAAACACACACATTTCTCAGCTCTGTGTTTCTCGTTAAAACCTGGTTACAGATAATCAATGCAATAAATAGGATTAGATTAGTCCAGGTGTAATTGAGTAAGAGAGTGAGAAAGACCAGAGAGAGACCAGAGAGGGACCAGAGAGAGTCCAGAGAGAGACCAGGAGAGAGACTAGAGAGAGGTCCAGGTTCCTCAGAGAAGATGATGAAGATAAGGAAACAAGCACTTGGATTAAGACAGTCACAGACTCTCATTAACTCTTAGAGAGCGATAAGGGAAACTAGGAGGTAGGCGATAAGGACATGTTTGGGACCTGGCTCTAAAGTCTGCTTGCTCTGGTCTTTCTTTGGTCGCTCTCTGGTCTCTTTCTGGTCTCTCTCTGGTCTCTCTCTTTTGGGGGGACTTGAACATCTGTGTCTGTAATGAGTATAATCAAGAAAATAATCACACTTAACGTGACAAAGAGAAGGCACACGTTTAAACACACCACACGCACACAAAGACAGACCCATACACACACACACACACACACACACACACACACAGTCACAGAAACTTATGCCCCCTCCTCTTCTCTCTTTACATCCTATTATGTAACACACAGCACTGCAGTAGATTGACTCTCGCACTGCAGCAGACACACACACACGCACACACATAAACACACAGAGACCCAGACACACACACGCACACACACGGAGAGACACAGACACACACGTACAGACACGCACACAATTACAATAAAGTAACAAATAAATCTGACTTTTATGGCAGCCATCTACTGTAGTTGATTTGCAAATATACTATTCTAGTCAGACTGTATAAAGATGCTAATGCATACACAGACCGTATACAGATGCTAATGTTAACATAGACATATACAGAGGCTGATGCTAACACAGACTATACAGATGCTGATGCATAAAAAGACTGCATACATATGCAAACATTGACTGTATACTGATGCTAATGCTAACACAGACTGTACACAGATGCTAATGCATAAATAGACTGTATAAAGATATTGCATAAAAATACTGTATACAGATGCTAATGCTAACATAGCCTATATACTAGTGGGGCCGGGCCCCACTCCAAAAGGTTCATGAGCATGCATGCCCGCTGACATGCTAGAAATCTCACTCCTAGCAGATGAGGATGTACCATGGATCTATTATAATATTTGGATAGGGTATAACCTATAGCCAGCTTGGAGCTGAAGGACCCACTTGCTTTGGGGATTTTTGCTGTACTGCAGACTAAACAAGACTAAATTCACGTGGGCTAATTTCCCCCATAGAACTCTGTGTAAACTAAAACAGCTCGACCTCAGCTGACAGAGAACCAACAGCTTTCATAGATTTCGTCGGGATTTTAGTGTTCCTTGTTATTCAGAATTTTTTTCTTGTTAAATCCTTCAGTTTTCTAGGGCTGAGGACCGCTGTCTGCCTCCTCTCTTTCAAACTCCTCTCTCTCAACCTCCGGTGAGGACGGTGGAGAGAAGTCCTCCACCTCCCAAGACCGCACAGAAGCTATGGAGCTGGCGTCGCTGTGTTCACTCTCCATCATTGACACGGCCAATGCTAATGTCAAGTGTCAATCACAGCTTAGACCCGCCCAACATTCACCCCCCTCCCCCCGCCTGTCCCCTTTGGTCCTCCAGGCTACGCCCATTTGGAGGGAGATTTGAACAGGAAATGTGAGTGACGTCAGCCTCGAGGGGCGGGGGTGAGAACCTCTTTAAATCTACACTTTAGTGCAACAAACTCTGCTTGTTTGGCTTTCGCTCTAACTCCGCTCTAGCTTTGCTCATATCACCAGCCTCTGATCGGTGAGAGCGCGTCCGAGCCCCTCTGTGCACGCGCATGAGAGCCACACATGCGTATTTGGTGCAAAGCATTATGGGAGCTCGTCCACTGCGCAGAACTGGGAGGACCATACAATGCCCAAATATGGGCGAGTTCTACTAATCTTTCGGTCCCCGTGTTAGCACAACCAGCACCGAGCACAAGCCAATGGTTTGAATAGGGCTCCATCTTGGATCGCCTCGGCTTGGGATGTGCCCGGAAAGAGAATTACCCGTTTGCTTTTTTATGGCGTCTTTACAGGATGGTCCAAGAAGCTCCCGGCTCAACACTACTGTAATAGTTCTGTGTTGTCTGTTTACTACCACAGGAGGGCGCTCTGATTATGGTAGAGAGTTTTACCGGAGTGAGAGTTTTCACCCGTGAGTTGTCACGCCTGCAGCTGTGAGTTCAGCGTGAGCTGTGGCTAACAACAGCTTGTCTTGTATACAGCTTGTGAATAAAAGCATCTTGAAGAGCACTGTTCGGGCGTTTCTTACCTGGGCGTATTACATTGGTGTCAGAAATTCGATATTTGTCCTCATTGCTTTGAAACTGAGAGCAAAGATGTTTCCCATGGACGGTGCCCGGCTACAGGTGAAGAAAGAGGCTGATGAGTGCTCTATTGAGATGCCAGCTTGCTCAGAAGTGCGGACGGAGAACTTTATATCCCATTACCCGGACTTCTCAGATTCCCGCCGCTGGAATACGGCAGGGAGGGCACGAGAGCCGAGTCTGGATGTAAACAAAGATGGCGGCGCGCGTCCGCTCATTGCAACCGGCTCAATGACTCTGAGATTCTCGGGCAGTGGGAATCTAGAGGCGTATCTGGCCCAGTTTGAACTATTAGCTGCGACAGTGGGCTGGTCAGGCCAGATGAAGGCAGTGCAATTGGCTTTATTCCTGACTGAAGAGGCGGCTACCTGTCTGTTGCTTCTGTCTCCAGATGAGAGACAAGACTATGCTATGCTGGTGGGAGTGCTGCAGAGGCGTTTCGGAGTGCTCAATTTGAAAGACTCCATGCGCTGTGAGTTCAAGAACCGAGTAAGGCAGCCGGGTGAGTCCCTTCACTCTCTGGCGCATGAGATTGAGAGCCTGGGCAGACGTGCATATTCAACTTTGCAGAGTGTGATCCAGAGTGAACTTGTGCGTGACCAGTTTGTGCATGCCCTGACCCCAGTTGAACTGCGGTTACACGTTCAGCTTATCCGCCCAGTGTCACTGAGCCAGGCGCTGAAGTTAGCTCTGGAGAGAGAGACTGCGTTTGGTGCCTCAAAGCGTACTGAACTTATGGTCACTGCTGCAAGTAAGGTGGAGTATAAACCCGCTTTGGCGGAGGAGCTGATCCATGCTGTGAAGAACCTCGCTGTGAGACCGAAAGGTGCAGACACGCAGTCCCCATCTAACCTTCCACCCTCCTGCTGGAGGTGTGGCAAGCCCGGCGACACTCTTCGTTGCTGCCCGGAGGCAAAAGGTCAACAGGGAAATGGGAGAGGGTCTGTGTAGCCCGGGACACAGGCCCTGTCCACCGTCAACCGGGAGCAGAGACAGTGGGCTGGACAGAGGTGGGTTTCCGTTGCTATGTTCCTGTGCTGATTGGGAATGTTTCCTGCCCAGCGCTTTGTGATACAGGATCTACAGCTACATTTGTAAGACCCATTGTTGTTCCAGCTGGGACAGTTTTGGAGTCAACTTCGGTAAAATTAAGAACAGTTACTAGACAGACGGCCGCCATTAGAGGGCAAGGGGCCTAAGTTTTTGCAATTGGGGGTAATTTTGTGACATTCCAGGCCTGGGTAGCTGACGTTAAAGACCCATGTGTCCTGGGCGTGGACCTCCTCAGGTTTATTGGGTGTGTATTGGACTTGGGGGTAGGCATAACGGTTCTCCCTCAGGGGCGGGTTGTACAGCTTCTTTCACCCCATAGCAACGATATTCCAGTTATGCCCACTTGCTGCACATCTGTGCTCACTGATGTTCCACCACCTGCGCCTGTCATAACTCCCCTGCATGACTCATGTCCTGCTCGTCCCCTGTTGTGTGAACCTCAGGTGTCAGTTTAATCTGGGAGAAGAACTGTGGGGGCTTGGATGAGCAGCAGAAAGAAGAACTGTGGAAGGTCCTGTAGAAATTTAATGATTTGTTCGCACTAAATGACAATGAGGTGGGGCTCACACATCTAGTTGAGCACCTGATTGAAACAGGGGATGCACAGCCTATCAAGGTATGCCCTCGCCTCCTACCCCTGATACGACAAGAGGCTGCGGACAGTGAAGTCCTTGCCATGCTGGAGGCTGGTATTATTGAACCCTCTGACAGTCCCTGGTCGTCAGCTGTAGTCATGGTCCCTTGGAAGAAGAGCTCAAGATGGAGGTTCTGTGTGAACTACAGGCCATTGAATAAAGTGACACATCAATGGACTTGCGGAGCGGATAATGGCAGGTCCCACTTTCCCCTGCATCAGCACAGGCAGGGGCCACTGGCAGTTCAAAGTTCTAATTTTTGGGCTTTGAGACTTATGGACATTTGAGAGACTTATGGACTCCGTTCCCGCTAATGTTCCCCGACAGGAGTGCCTTGTGCATCTGGATTATGTCCTGGTCCATGGAAAGTCTTTCCGGGTGGCCCTAGACTCCCTGCGGTTGGTGCTCGGTAGGATTGCGACAGCCGGATTAAAGCTTCACCCGGATAAGTGCCACTTCATGCGGAGGGAGGTGGAGTTTCTTGGCCACAAAGTTGACGGTGAGGGCATTGGCACGCTCCAGGAACAGATCCAGGCTATCAGAGACTGGCCCTCCCCGGGAAATCAGAAGCAGCTTAAAAGTTTCTTGGGGCGGGCTTCTTATTATAAAAGGTTCGTTAGGGGGTTTCCTGTATTGGGGCTCCTCTATTTCGCCTCCTCCAGAAAAATCATTCTTTCACCTGGACAGCTGACAGCCAGGAATCATTCCTTACTCTCAAACAGACCCTCATTAGTGCACCTGTTCACACTGGACACTGATGCTAGTAATGCTGGAGTGGGGGCTGTGCTGTCTAAGACCGGCCCTGAAGGTGAACGCGTTGTAGCCTATTTTAGCCGGTTGTTTAACAAAAGTGAGAGGCGCTACTGTGTAACAAGACGTGAACTGTTAGCTGTAGTTTTAGCTGTCCAGCATTTTAAATATTACTTGTTTGGTGTGCCATTCACTGTCAAAACAGACCACGCAGCTTTGCGGTGGTTGATGTCTTTCAGGGAACCAGAGGGCCAGGTGGCGCGCTGGCTGGAGGAGCTGCAGTCGTTTCACTTTGAGATTTTGCCCGCGGCTGAGCCCGCTTGCTGCTCTGTAGAGGTAGAGTGTAGTCCTGATTGGGCCTCTGAACAAGAAAAGGACAAGGACTTGCGCCCAGTGCGCCAGTGGGTCATTAGGGGTGAGAGATCTTCCTGGGAGGGTGTTATGGGGTTTTCAGTGACTACTAAGGGCCTATGGAGTAAGTTCAAACCACTTCGTGTTTTGGAGGGAGTACTACAGCAGGCATGGAAGGAACCAGTAACTGGGGAGGGGAGGTGGCAAATTGTGGTGCCCAAAGCCCTGAGAGAGGGTGTGCTGGAGGCATGTCATGGGATGGCTGGCTCAGGTCATTTTGGGACCACTAAGACGCTGTATCGCTTGTGTCAGGAATATTATTGGGGCCAGCACCATCGTGATGTCGAGGACTTTTGTCGTCGCTGTGATGAGTTTGCTGCCTACAAGGGGCCTCAAGACCAGTTCCATGCCCCCCTGCAAAAACAAGCAGTTGGTGCGCCCATGGAAAGGGTAGCTGTAGACATTATGTGCCTTTTCCCAGTCTCAGATCAGGGAAATAAATATGTGATGTGTGCAATGGACTATTTTACCAAGTGGCCCGAGGTCTATGCCCTGCCAGACCAGGAAGCAGAGACGGTGGCAGATACACTGCTGGAGGGCATGTTCAGCCGTTTTGGTACCCCAGACATCATTCATTAGCCTGACTCTTGCCAGACCCATGTAGTTCGCTGCACTTCACACATGGGTCCGGGTCTCCTTCATAGCGGATACATTTCAGAAGGCGGGGCCTTGTAAAAATCATCCTAATAATAATAATAAAACGCCTCTGGTGGAAATACAAAGGTCTGGCGAGAGTCATGCTAATCATTCATAGTGACCAGGACAGAAATTTTGAGTCACGTGTCTCTGCAGCCCTCTGTGACTCTCGTACCACACCATTGCATCCGCAGAGCGACGGCTTAGTGGAGCGTAGTGCAACCGCACTATGCAGCACCAATTGGCAATCCTCACTGCAGCTCACCAATGTGACTGGGATCAACACATTCCCTTTGTTCTGATGGCCTATCGATCTGCTGTCCAGAACTCCACTAACTGTACCCCGGCTCTGTTGATGCTGAGCAGAGAGATACGGACTCCAGCAGCATTGGCTTATGGACGTCCCCATGGGGATCTAGAGGACGTGCCGGTGCCAGAGTATGCCAGGAAAAACTACAAGATAGACTGGAGTCGGCTCATGCTTTTGCTCGGTACCAGTTGGAAAAAGCTGGTATGAGACAGATAAGGAACTATGATGTGAGGAGTCAAGATAAGGACTTAAGTGCTGGGGACTTAGTTTGGGTTTACACTCCAAAAAGAAAGAAAGGACGCTGCCCTAAACAAGTCAGCCACTGGGATGGTCCTTGTCAGGTGTTAGAGCAGGTCTACAGAGTGCAGGTTCCCCCCTCGAGGCAGAAGGGTAGTTCTTCACCGGGACAGGCTAGCACCATACAGGTCATACAGTACTTTCATTTGAACAGCGGCTATCCCCACAAAGCAGCCCGAGGCATTTAGCTAGCCAGAACCCCCCTTTCTCTCCCCCTAATGCTCCATCCCAGCCACCAGCTATGGCAGGAACTAACTGTGGGTCCAGTCCCATCAGAACACGGAGAATGCAGAATAGACCGACCCACGTTTTGCAAATTTTGTTATGTCCCCTTGAGGGCAAGGGACTTTTAAAGGGGGGAGCTGTGTAATAGTTCTGCATGTAATAGTTCTGTGTTGTCTGTTTACCGCCACAGAGGGGCGTTCTGATTATGGTAGAGAGTTTTACCCATGGATCTATTATATTAACTGGATAGGGTATTACTAGCTTGTAGCTGAATAACCCATGTGCTCAGGGGATTCTCGCGGTACTGCAGACTGAACCAGACTAAATTCACATGGGCTACCCAGAAATTTTCCCCATAGGACTCAATGCATATTAAAACAGCTCAACCTCAGCTGACAGAAAACCTACAGCTTTCATAAAGGTCGGATTTTGTGGGGATTTTAGTGTCCCTTATCATCCTGAACTTTTTTTCTTCTTAAATCCTCGTTTTGTTTAAATCCACACTTTAGTGCCACAAACTCTGCTCGTCTGGCTCTCGCTCTAACTCCCGCTCTGATGAACTGCTCTGATTGGTCAGAGCGCAGCCGAGCCCCTCTGTGCACGTGCGTGAGACCCACACACGCGTGTTTGGTGCAACGCATTATGGGAGATCATCCACTGCGCAGAACCGGGAGGACCAGACAATGGCCAAATACCAAGCCCCGGCGATCCAAGATGGCGCCCTATTCAAATGAATAGCTCCCATAATACTCCCATTATCATTGATCGGTCGAATAGACGCAGTTAAAATGAAAATCCTACCCCAAATTACATATTTATTTACAATGATCCCTATAACCCCCACAAACAACTGGTTCAAATCACTAAACTCTATAATAACTCAATTTTACTGGAAAAATAAACCACCCCGAATATCACTGGCAACTTTACAAAACTCCAAATCACACGGCGGACTTGAAGCTCCAAATTTTCATCAGTACTTCTATGCAACACAACTACAATACCTATACATCTGGATAAATAACCATAAGCATAATAACCAATGGATTCAATTAGAAGCAAACCAATGCCAAAATACACCCCTAGCAGATCTCCCTTTTTTACCACCATCAATAAAAAAACAACCATACTTCAAGTCCATCACTATCTCCACAACTCTGACAGCCTGGTGGAAAATAAACAAAATCACCAACTCCTCACTATCACCATGTAAAAACACCCCTATTTGGCACAACCCTGACTTCCAACTACACAACTCCCCCATTCACTTCCCACTCTGGCAGCAAAAGGGCATCTCTCACCTTCACCACCTGTTTGAAAACAATACATTCATGTCATTCACCACAGTTATCCAGAGGTACGGGGTTGGGAGAGAGCAATTTCTTCAATACCTACAACTCAAGAATTTAATCAAATGTAAAACCAGTCTAACACAAAACATGTTACACCCATCTACTCTGACTAATAACATTCTAAACATAAACAACACAAAAAGATTAATATCAAAACTCCACAAAATAATAGTAACAATTCACAATCCACTAACACTGCCTTCTGTCAAATGGGAAAAGGACCTGGACATCTCTCCCAACCCCGACTTCTGGAACCGCATTTGTAGAAACGCATTTATAACAACATACGATAATTTGCAACTCATACAATATAGAACAATCCATAGAACACACCTCACACAAAGCCGTTTAAAAAAAATGGGATTTATAGATACCGACATATGCCCACAATGCACTTCAGGGAGCACAGATACATACCTGCATGCCACCTGGGACTGTCAACCGGTACACACCTTCTGGATTTCCGTCACGGACAAACTCTCCACCATCTTGGGCTGCAGAATCCCATTAAACCCCGCTCTGTGTCTTCTAGGAGACACTACTCAAACAAATAAGCAAACACCATGACTCCCTACTCATCTCTCTAACCATCGCAAAGAAAATAATATTCCAAAATTGGAAAAATAAAAAACTATGTAGCATCACTCATTGGACAAACCTACTCATCGACCACATCTCAACAGAAAAAAATACATCCCACAGAGGGAGGCATATATCGGCCTTCAATGAAACATGGGCATCATTCATCGCACATTTTCAGTTATAATTATTAACAAAGCCACTCTCCATCACTATCCAAAAATAATAATACTTATACATTTTAATCCTCTATCATGTGTTGCTTATATCTCACACTCATTTCATATATATATTTTTTTTTTCTTCTCTCTTTCTTCTCCCTCTCTCCCTTATTTTCTATCTATCTGTTTAAACCCATCTTGACTGTCATTACCGCCAACACCAGTTATCAACTTATTTCACCTTAGCCCCGATCCCAGCCACCGCCACCCTTTGTGTTTTTAATGCACCACACACTAAGAAATTGAAACTTAATAAGGGGAAAATAAATATACACAACGCAAGAGACTCAGGACACATGAGGAGAACGTGAAGCAGTACACCTGCTTCAACAATCCAATCATGTCCTTTTTAATGCATCTTAGACACACACACACACACACAATCCTTAAAGACAGCAGATTAACAGGCAAAGAAAGTGGAGGCTGGAGTATCTCCTAACTCATAAAACATCAATTTAAATTGTAATAAATAATGTTGGTGTTGATGATCTTTTTAATTGACTTTATGTTTATCTTTTTATTTTATTTTATTTTTATTTTATTTTCCTAGCACGCACGCTTGCACACACACATGCTCACACACACATCTCCCTCCCTCCCTATATGGTATTGTTTCACGTTCTCTCGATACTCGTTTTTCTCTATATGTCCCCATGTTTTGTCGCTGCCTCAATGTTTTTTACACGCACATGCACGCACACACATATCTCCCTCCCTCCCCATATGGTATTGTTTCATGTTCTCTCAATATCTGTGCTTCTTTGTATGTCGCCATGTTTTTTCGCTGCTTCAATGTCTTGTCAGGATTTAGCAGACAGAGACGGATCGTGGTGTGCCAAACTCTGGAAGTTTATTTAAGTTTCTCTCAAGTTCCACTGGTTTACTCTGTTTCTTTCTCCCAGACAGAATAAAGGCAGTACACAGTTTATATAGTCATTGTCACGTCACACATCGAAAGACATACGTGTCACAAAGAGACAGTCACATCATAGTCATAACATGGAGTCCTTGTAGAGTCCTTGTACAGTCCTGCACGTAGGCCATATTGCTATCTAATACTAACACCCTCCCCTTTGATCACATAATCACATGTGATCACTCAATTTGATCAATCAATAAAGTGGAAAAAGAAAAAAAAAAATCCAAAAAAAAACTTTAAAAAATTATTAAAAACAAAGAAAATGTATGCATTACTCATAATCATCAAATCAATATCAGTGGATTTTATCCTCTATCCTGGGAAAAAATAAAAAACACAAATAAAGTAAATAAACAAACAAAAAACAAATCAAAAATAAAAACAAACAAAAACTATTGGACACACAAGAACTCAGCAGATTCAGTCAAAACACAGACAAAAACGAGCTGAGTCTCAAATTTGAAGCTAATTTCACTTTTATTACTCTATGCTTTTATTCTAATGCTGATTGTTTACACAACTTATTTCACTGTATTATTTTCACTTATCAATCTTAGACTGTGTACTTTACTCTCTATTCACTATAGTTTAAACTATTCTAATCTATTTACAAATATGTTTGCATATTTGCTTCTATTGAGCCATATTCTTAAACATACATTTTAATCTAATAAATCTCTCTGTGGTTTTACACTCTCATTATCAGTGGCTTTTTATCAGTGGGATTTTGTTCTATCTCTCTTCTACATTCTCAGGAATAAAACTGTGAACACAGTAAGGCAAATGGTCAACATTTACACTTCTATAGTGGTCAGTGATTTATTACTTTTTATTATCTAAAGATATTATTGTCAGGCATTTGGGATGAATGTACATCATTAATCAAATTAGTATTATCCTTACAAGAGCTAATCTATTTTAGCAGGTTTGGGGTTGGGGTCAGTTATTATACAATGGTGTTTGTGCTGGAAACTTCTCAATATCTAAATATCTACTATTGTGTTTTTGTGCTATACACAAATACATCAAAATGCTTTTAA